CACATGTATCAGTTTCCTAAAACCGGTTTCTTATGCCTGGTTGCACAATCAGGTCTCTACACTATGACAGGACAGGTGACATACAGAACTTACATAACCACCCAGGCAAACTTCACAGAATCTTAACAACACACTACTCTGAAACATGGCGATTCAACACGACACATCAGTCCGGAAGTGGTTGGTGCTCGTTGCAAGCTTTTTCAACATGTTTTTCTGTGCTGGATTTCCATTCAATATGTCAGTGTTAAACACGGAATTTTTACGTGTATTCGAGAGAAGTAAAGCGGAAACGGCACTTGTACAGTCTGTTATTTCAGGAACACTGTTAATTGCAGGTATGTATCAGGTGGGAGTATACCAACAAGTTGGTTTTGTTAGTTAATTAAAGGGTTTTGGCCACGATATTAACATTCTGTAAAAATAAGCGAAACCTGTAATATACTTAAATGAATACCGAATCATCCATCAACGCGCGTTCAGAAGGGTCCCGTTACCTAGATATAAGCAACTAAAGGTGATCGCTCCTTACTGGGGAGACTTTTAACGAGCTTACATGTCACGTGGTACTTGTGACGTCAGAGTGGCACGGTTTGGGTCACTTGTCGATATAACAGGTAGCAAGGGTTCAGGAGCTACACCCTCCTATATATTTCTGATTTGTTTCAATTTACACGTCTTACAGTGTGAATCTTGGCATAAACTACATATTTATTCTGAAAATAGTGTGCCACAAGTACTCATTACGAGTTCTAGGATCCGTCGCTGAAGATATATTTTTGTTTAAAAGGCTGCTAAACAAACGTTCATTTAGGAATGTTAAACCACCATAACTATAAACATAATGAAGCTTTAGTATTCAGAAATTTCGCAAAAATGTAATATTTTACTTGCTTCCCATACTTCACTGGCATAAAACAATATACTGTTCACATAAGTGACAAAAAGGTTTAACAAAATCTTCACATATAGATTCAATGTAGAACATTTTGAGAATAAGGCAAACATGGCTTTGCGCCCTTGCTCCGTTTTGCATGCAACTAAAGTTAGTATTGAACTTAAATTTAATACCTAGATATGTGAAGTTCTGCGACACCTTCATCATTTAGGTTCCACATTTCATTGTTTCTCTCCTTTTCGCCTTTACGGAACACCACAGGCTTTGTTTAATCCGTATTAATAGTCAGATTTCATTTCTTTGAATAATCTGATAGATTATCGAGTAATTTTTGCAATCCTTCGACAGATTCAGAAAATAGCACTAAGTCGTCCGCATATAGCAATTAAAACAGACTCAGTTCTTCAAATTCATTGTGGTTTATACATTTGGAGATAAAAAAAACGATTCAAAGTCGTTAATGTGCATAGAAAAAAGTATCGGCGATAAAATTATTAACATCGTCAGTTTTCAGTCCAGCATAAGGAAAAAAACATGAACAATACAGGTAAACACTGCTGAAATTTACTTTAATCCTTTCAACAATTTTGTTTCTTCTAACACTGGGGACAAAAAGAAACGCGCCGGTACACCATACTACCTGTGCTAGTTGGAGGATCGGTTATAATTGCCATTGGGCCATGACCGTCACCGGTAACACTTCTGGGGTAATAAGTTTATCTGTTAATTCACAGGTAGGTATCGTAAATGCCATTTGGCTATAATATTAATTGATAAGAACTACAGGTAAATAAGATACTATTTGAATCACAGGTAAGATATTTCGATGTGTAAACTGTGTATTACTATCTCTCAGCTTGAAGTTATATTGAATGTAGTTGATGCAGGCACGAAATTAGATTTCCGCGATTCAGGCCTGAATGTATAACTTTTCTTTCGGAGAACATTATCGATGTCTTTATTTGTTGATTGATGATATTACCCACACAACATATATTGATTGCTGTCTTTACTTACTCGGTTATGCAGATAATATATTCATATGACATGTAAAGGGCGTGTCTTGCCACTATGACGTCACACATCACGTGACTTCGTACTGAGTTTAAAACATGCATATTCACTAGCTAGGCTGATATAGATGGGGCGTCACATGGCCTGTCTATCCTATGATTACCGAGAGAGACGGGGTCTCGGTCACTACACGTATTATTGCATCAAATGACCGTAAAATTTGAAATTATGAAAAATTGTGGCCAAAATCATTTAAGGATACATTCGTGTTAATCGATAATCTAATTCAATATTCAGATTTAACGCGCTTGCTTATAATCTAATTCGAATACAACATTCCAATAACAATTTAGAAGCAGAGAATACCAAACTGTAGCAACTTTAGAATTATGTTTTACAATTTTTCTGTCATCCGTCAACATGCCACGGAAATCATGATATTAAGAGCAATATCTTGCATACCGAAGCAACGGCGATATGTAATCCCGGTAGGTTAGGGAAGCCATTATATTACAATTAAGAAAGGGAATGTTTACGATCGGAATACCGGAATCATCAGGATTTTTGTAAATCCTAACAGTAAGTTGTCTCCGGTGGTCATGTTGTAACTGAAGAACTAGGTAAGACACTGATGTAGACTAGTTTGTATTGTCCTTTACTTTTAAGTTCATCGGTTTTATTGTATCTACATAACGTTTAGGTTATAGAGCGGAACTTGGACATATTTATCAACACCCTATTAAGTGTAATGTATATGGAACTTGATTAAGATACTCCAGGAAGCACACTGAACAGACAGACACATAAAATGTTCGAGATATAATCCATTTAGCAATACATATTTTTAAACTGATGACAATTATTTAAGATATCTGAGGTGAGGAATCGCATGAATTTGAAAACCGACTTAACTCGAAACTTAATTGACAGGATTGATTTCGTTTTTTATTCTAGTCTGTTATCAAAAAATAAATTGGAAAAAAAATAGAAAAATAAAACACTACCAAACAAAACACCTTCAATAGATAAGAATATTTCAATGTTGATCAGTTCCATGTTCGGGTGAATTTTCCTTTTTCTTTAGTTGTTTATGGTTCGGCGCTTATACTTGACGTCCTCCAGAAGTACCCCGACCGGGTTAGTAATGTCAAACTCTCGCTGTTGCCCAGTGGAATTGCCTAGGCGTAATTTTATCATCCTGCTGTCAAATCAGTCTTGAGTAGGGAAGTCCAGTGTTGTATTACAGCACTTATCTAACACTGCTGTAAATGTTTATCCATAGCCTCTTACGGCTTATTCCATATCCAGTAGAATGGTAAGTACACCTGCCTGCTAAATGATTAAACCAACCGCTTTCAGTGTGCTCCTACAACGCAGCAACCGCAATGTCTTCCACATTCACTTGATTTGCTTTTGGTTTGTTAACGTGCCATTATCAGCTAAGGACATTTCAGGACAGGTCCACCATGTGAGAGACATATGATTGTATGTGTGTAGTGTGCTGGAGGTGGTATGTTGGTCTATTTGCCGCCTTGTCATACCGCAGATCTGATGCCGACTTTACAGCGCTATCTTCCTGAAATACCATGCCAAAAGCCCCTAGCCCGGTATTCAACCCGGTTACATTATACTGACATCATGTAATTCAGTTGTTGCAATATACCAAAATATTGAAGGTATAGTAGGAAATAATATCTACCATTTTTAAGGACTTTGGCTTCTCCCGGTCTTGGAACAGAACCGACTTTCTTCCTGGTTTGAAAAACACGTTAAACATTAAAGCCGAATGTTGTTTGGGAACAAAATGAAATATAATAATACGAATGTTGTGATCTGGGCAACGGACGGATGACGCTACTTCCGGATGATGACCGACAATGGACTACTGTTAAATAGTTTTAAGGTTAATCAACCAATTTTGCACACCCTATCCCTATACATTTTAGGCAGTTAAAATAAGATTGCAGACATTCCATACGTGAATAATGCACTAAATGGTTGAATACCAATATATGTTACTTTTGCAATGGCAGGTTACCCTTGCGGTCAAAGCGTAAACAGATTTGGAGTACGCAAAATGGGCATTCTTTCCGGACTGCTGGCTTCAGTCGGACTCTCTGTTTCCTTTTTTGCAACAAGCATCCCTTATCTCGTCATCACTGTGGGTATAATAACAGGTAAGCAATTATAAGCTATCATTCTGTGTTCCCAGGGTTTGTCTTGAGAACAATCTCTCAAACCCTGAAAACATTGTTTGATCAAATGTGTATCATTAATATACTACTACCTTATGTATTTCTTCATAAATAAAAAAGAAAACTTAACACCGTATTTTCCAAACGACTCCTAGCTATAGGCTCCTCCGTCGTTTTATATATTTTTTATTTTAGAAAATACATTCCCAAATTGGACAATCCCTTTTCATGTTCATGCTAGCAGTAGGTGGTATAAAGTAGTATATAGATGATAATTACTCATATCATATGTTGGGTGAAATAAATGATGTGACAGGTGAGAATTGGGGAATCAAGCACTAGGTGAAGTTATGAGTGTGATCATGTAATCTTGCCAGAACCATGCAACAGATGAAATAATAGATGTCCTAACGTTAGTATGATGGAACAATGCACAAGGTGAATATTTGGTGTGGTCTGTGGTGTGTGAGTCACTAGCTACATAACTGCATTTTCTCTAGGAATGAATAAATGCGCTTATGAATATACGTTTACAGTAGGAAAATGGAAATTATATTTCAGGAGAAACGTTCCACTTATTGACATACATTGTATATATGTATAAAAATCTGTTGAACTCTTTAAGTTTTGATGTCATCCCTGTCATCATTATCATCAGTTGGAGAACCTGATGAGACATTCTTTGCGAAAAAAAAAAGGATAATGAATCGATTTTGATGTAACATTTCAATCTTGCGCAAAAAAAAAGGGATAATGACTTGATTTTGATGTAACATTTCCATCGGCTACATATTCACACTAAACACGTTGGTTCTTACAGGTCTAGGATTGTCATTGGCGTTTGTAGCGTCTACTACTGCAACAGGTGAGTATTTTACTGGAAACGCCAGACATTTGGCTTTGTCCTTTGTGGCATGTGGATCTGGATGTGGTTCAATGGTTTTCCCGTACCTATTGGACAGGCTTATTAGCGTGTTCGGCTGGAGAGGATGTTTACTCATCGTTGGAGGACTCATGGCGAATATGATCTGGCTGTTTGCCATTTGTAAACCCCTAACAGTCGGTTTGGCACAGTCAAAATATGTGCAATCAAATAAAAGCAATTTGAAGCCGCATCAAATCAATGATACTGGACTAAACACTTCTAACGGGCATACACATTGTTGCATGAAGCTGGTGTTGCTGTCAAAGAGCTATGACTTTATCATCTACATCCTTGGTATGACATGCACTTTTCCTGCTTTTATATGTATTCTGATTTACATAATAGAATTTCTGAAGACAAAGTCATTTGACAGTGAGGAAGCATTGCTGCTTTATCTCTTTATGAATGTAGCCAACACGCTGGGCAGAATGATTCCCGGGTTATGTAAGTACATACCTCATGTGAGTTCACTGGTCATACCAGCACTTACTACAATCATAAGTTGTATTTCGACTGTTGGACTATTGTTTGCAAATACATATAAACAACACCTCCTTCTGATGTGTGGATTCGGACTAGCGATAGGAAGCAATGTAACGGTGATGTCGATGACGACCATTAAGCTTGTTGGATTAGCTAATTACTCTGTTGGTGTTGGGATCTTGATGACGGTTACCGGTGTCAGTTCCGTGTGTGCCGGGACCATTTCAGGTACGCATGCGCTGTGTCAGTAGTACAGGTAGACAACCTCAGCTTTGATTACCACACTCAAGCTTAGATGCCCTTAGTACAAAATACACGAAGAGAGTTTTATGCTATCATTGCTCAGCTATGAATAAAAAATAAATAAATACATAGTTGAATTCAGGAGATTAAACTATCATTATAAGTTTCTAACTTATATGTATTTTTTAGGTTATGTATCCTTGATATATATATTGATTAAATCACTGTCATCAAATTTAGATATTCCACATGTGCTTTAATATTCACATGATTTCTCATTTGGCCGACATAAACCGTCGCATTAATAACCTGCGAAAGGTAGGGTGGCGCAGTGGATAACTCCCTCGCCTTACACCCAGGCGGCAGATGTTCAATTACCCGATCGGACCTGAAAAATCTGGGGTTACCTGCCAAATATCCAAGGTTTTCTCCGGGTACTCCAGTTTTCCTCCCACATTAAGGAACCCCGTGCGATTACATCTGGACCAACAAGAGAGATTATTTTAAATTGTTGTAAAATAAATACAGTTTCTATTTATATACATTAATGTATGAATTCTACAATGGTCACGGAGTCGCTCTAGTTATCACTCTGTATAAACAACCTTTACTGTTGCTACTAAATATAACCTGCTGGTGACCTATCCGTTCCCAAAAACAAAATTTTGGAAGTTTATAACTTTTTCTTCAGAAAAAATTAATTAATACGCAATTGTCTCCGTTCAAGTGTCTTTTGGTCGAGGGTCTATACATTCCCACTGAAGAGCTTCATGGCCACGTATAAAATATATCTTAAGATTGTTTTTTCGAGGTATTATCCCGATATTTGTCGAAATTTCGATTAAGAGACATGCAAAAGCGATTTTTTTTCTACATGACCCTTAAGATCTTCCGTACGTCCAAGTTGCTCTAGTTCGAAAATTAATATAAGTAGCCTTCTGTTTTCTTCTTTCTTACTTGTCACTATATAATATTTTTATAGATGACAGAAAAAATGGATGTTACATATTTGTTAGATTATTTTTTGATAACGGATATTCTACACAAAAACATATGCTAAGTTTGTCCCGTCCCATGGTCTCTTCTTCGTAATAGTTGAAACCTGAGGGTCCATAATGTTTTGGAAACTCTAATTAGAAAGTAAAATCGGAAGTCATGTGTTGTTATTGACTTTCCTGTTGAATGAAAGAATACAATTAGATGTTTAACACATTTATCATTGGAGGACAGCCTACCGTAACCATTACAAATTAGGTGAGCTAATTTAAAACATAAAACATTTGTACTCTATACGAAAGTAATATATAACGGCTATAATTGCGTTTTCACCTTTTCTATTATTAAATCCTTTACTTACATTACAGGCTGGCTACTCGACCTGACGGGTACTTACACGGTGGCATACTACAGTGCTGCAGCCTCCCACGGCGTGGCCGTATGTCTGTTCTGTCTTGCAGCATTGATACGGAAACATAATCAACTTACATCTGATAAATATCATCTCGGAGATTCAGTTGACGGACCATGAACCACTTGTGTGCATCACCACTTTCAAGGTTCAGTTGACAGATAATGAACTACTTCAGTGTATTAATATATCGCCGAACATCGAACCGTTACCACTTCCATGGTTCAGTCATTCGTTTACCATGAGAAGACGCAGTATGGCTATGCAACTCAATTTGTACTAACATTTTAAAATTTATTTCCGAAAAAAAATGTGAATAAGCTTTTTCTATCCATCCCCCTTAAAATTGTCTTTAAAACTTACAAATAATAAATCATGGCTGTTCTTAATATATAGCTGATGTCTAGATTGATCAACTGGTATAACTGCCACATATGTCACAGACAAACTAGCGCACAATGATAAGTTTGTCTGTGACACATGTGGCAGTTATACCAGTTGGTCTGCTACATCTATGCAGTTTATTGTTTAAATAAACTCCAAGTGTTTTTTCTGTTCAAATAAGAACTGTGATCACATTTCATACAAAGTTCTATCTCCGGAATTCGTGCACCAAGTTATTCCCAACATCAGTTACTGTTACAGTGTTAATGAAACATGACGAGGTATATCAATCTAGACATCAGCTATATTTTAAGAACAGTCATGATTTATTATTTGTAAGTTTTAAAGGCAATTTTGTTTGAGTATTACTTGACTGCCTTGAACTTTCCTTTATACATTGAACTCAAAGAAATCATTTCACAAATTGAATTAGACAACACATTCATGAGCTGTGTTTATCATAACTCCGTACAAATGTCTTTATGCTAGAGTAATAACTTTCCATCGGCAATCATTCGCTAACGTTTATATTCATAAGGGAACAGCATTGTACATATGGGCGTTTACTATCCCTGTGTTACCCTTAATTGTTCGTTGAGTATACCATTGCTATGTATATGTACTTAAAACCTAAATGAGGCCGAACGAACATTTGTGAATATTTTTTTCCGTCCAAGTAACCAAATGTCTGTTTTATGACACCTATATGAATTAATTTGATTGTTGAATATGCGTTTTAAATCTTAAGTCTTAATCCACCCTAACTATTCTTTGATTAAGTTCGATAATTCCTCCTCCCTTGTCTGTTGAACGATGTGATGTATCTTCCTGTGTTTTGCAGACCGGTCATCATTTAAAACCTTTAAATAATTTTGCATTTTTAAGAGCTGTATATCCAACCAATTTATCAGATTGCAATAATCATCTTGGAGTACACTGAGAAACACTTAAGAACGAAAAAATCAATTCTACGACTTAATCTACCTTTTTATACCAGTAAACTTCAATTACCATCGAATTTTACAAAACACAATCTAAATCATAAATCCATGACCCAACTTAATGACGTACCAGCTAAATAATCTATGCATGGCTAACTTAATGATGTACAATCTAAATCATATTTGCATGGCCCAAATTACGGAAACACTCTCCAAATTAGCGGAGCACCATTTAAATTTAAAAACCATATCCAAGTTATCGGGACATGGACCAGTTTTCAGGAACAACAACCAATTTTCAGGGACAACAACCAATTTTCAGGAACATAACAATTCAATAAGATTGTGCCTTTGTTCCCGAAAACTGGTCGTTGGCCCCCGAAAATTAAGTCGTTGTCCCGCTCACTCGCACAGCGGTATTCCCTTTGATGTAGCCGCGCTCCGGCGAAGCCCGTACAGGTGAGGCAGTCTATAGTCCCTGCCTTGCTGGCCGTGTTGTCGGTATAGCTATGCAAAGACGGTCGCTCTAATTCCGTAATCAAAACGATATAATAACACAGGTCGATAGTACACTTATATTTACTTCGAATGAAATAAATAAAGACCAAGGAAATAATGCTTATTTTGTACTACGGCCAGGGTTAGGATCGAAATGAACGACCATTTGAGAATAATGCATAACTTTTACCGTATTGCTGAACTGGTGCTTTGATACATCACTCCAGGGACACATGAAGCCAGTATATACGTCTCTGATCACTCATATAATAATCAAAGACACAATATGAACTCTCAATATTAACGATATTTAATGACGAACGATAAGTACGTCCCGATGTCGTATACAACTTATATTACGTAAACTATATCCCCCGGCTCCGTTCGGTCCGAGGTACTAGTTGTCCAGTATTTATTGATAAACTCGTGCAAATGATGAACCGATTGTGTAAATGTTCATAAACGAACCACTGTATATATATATATATGTTAAGACAGTTTACGTTCCTATTTTGCTTTATATACCTTTCAATCGTTTTTAATGTTGTTAATAGTTTTGTGGTTTATATAATCCTCTTAGTAAGGAGATTCCCGATCACCTGTCCTCTCAGCTTTTAATTTCTATTGTATTTAACAAAAATGTATTTTATTCATATTTGGTTTTTTTAATCATAACTTATATAATTGTAATTAAATGGAACTTTATCTTCCCTGTACTGTCGTAAGAATATCCCTTCTGAGTACATGTTTCATGTTATAATATTTAAGGTTTAACTTTCTATTTAGTTTAGGTTATCGGGTGATAAATAATCGGCGAAGCCGATAAAGAAGAAATAATTTACCCGGGTTCCATTGTAGTTATCACCCGATAACCTAAACTGAATAGAAAGTTAATCCTTATATAGCCTTTTTCTTAACATAAAACGCGTCCATTTATGTCATCAAAGTAAACGTATATAAATGAACACACAATCCAGCCGTCCTGTCAGTCAACAACGTGACGTCATCGGAATGTATGAATTTCAACAATGTATGTTTACATTTCAACAATGTATTTTTTGCATGAATACACTAATGAGTTAGGTATCCGAGGTACTCTTGTTAACTTCCTAAAACAGCAATGTAAACTCCCGGGTTGTTGAAACTTCGAGTGATAATGACAATGATCTCCACAAAGGCTTTCATTAGAAAAAATACCATTTAAGTTACGTTTATGTGTTTAAAGTGAACGAAATTTCGAAATATCTTGTTTCTTTATTCATTTAAAGCGAACTTAACCATTTCAGAAAGATAATGTGCATCCGTATGTCAGTTATCAAAACTGTATAAAATAAAATGAGAAAAAAAATAGAGCGTTATTCTTAACCAGAGACGTTATATTACAATATATACGACTTTGTGTATAGTCTAAACAGGTGCTCTCGTCTAACGAACCTGTGATTACTAAAATTTAGAACCTATGAAACTTCTTATCTAAAAGGTAAAGCGTGATCCGGTTGTTAAATATATGAATTATCAGAATTAATATTGAATATTGTATTACCTGTCTTCAGACAGAGACATATAAAGCCGTAAGTAGTATATACGTTTCCGCTTCAGGTCAACCATGACAATCAGAATAATATATAAACTAAAGGTATTTTGTTTTGGTTTCCTTTCTATCATAACAAGATACCTTCTCTGTATTAACGTAATATATTAGGTATCAGTACATTTCACTCATAGTTCCAGTAGTATTAGTAATCATTATCAAATACATATAAAGATAAAATATATTGCCGTGTGAATGATGTAATTGATATACAATATGTGTTAAGATAAGTTCTGTGCACTGATCTTACACGAAAATGGCACCGTTTCATTGGTTGATATACCTGTCAATCACGCGCGGTAGAGAGGTGGGCCCTCGCGGTGATTGGTTGATGTTCTTGTCGATGCTCCGCTGTTGTTTCATTGACAAGAATATCACGGGCCGTAATTCTCGTCACATTCTGGTGCATGTAGTCGCAGTGACATTTGGTATTTCTTTTTCTGTTTCCTGTTGTACAATATATTTAAACTTGAAAGTGACATTCGTTCTGAATTCCGTTCTGAATTCTTTTTTAATTGGTGCAAGCATCCCATGCATACAATTTTATTATGAGAAAGTAGGTTTACTTTGTTTGTAATGTATAATCGTGCACAGAAACCTTACATGTGGATGTACATTGTATTGGACATGTATGTTGAAATTGTAGGTGTATAAATATAGCTGTTGGTCTGTATGAACTTTCTAACTAAGCATTGAAGGATAATTAAATGTAATCACTATGTGTAAGCGTCAAGGAAAAATCATTAAACTAAGGAACTGTGACAATGTATTATGAGAATTATCGGTGTTCATGTTAAAATATAATAGACAAAAGCAAATATTTATTTATAGGACTGTTTTGCTATTGCTAATACTGAAATACTTTTTTCCTGCTAACACAATGTTCAAATACTAAAGTGACATTTGTACTGAATTCGTTTTACTTAGCGCAGGCAGCCTGGTCCTCGCATAAAATGTTAGTGAAAAAGTGGGTTGACTTGGTATGTAATGTATAAAAAGCTGTATTTGACAAGAGGGTATAATTGTACAAGTATGTGCAAAATGTTGTTGAATGTATAGGTAAGTGGTTGTTATGAAAAAAACATGTTGATATGATTGATTGTACATACGTGTGCATGTTTATATGTTTGCAGGTAGGTTGGCCCAGTTAATTATTTCTTTAACAAAGGAAAAATCTTGTTATTTCATTATCTGATTAAGTAACCAGCAACCGACCGTGGAGAAGTTGATTTGTACTTTAATTTTTAAATCATAGTATACTGTAAAAGCATATATTTACGTTGGTGGTTAAATTTCGTTGTTTTGGATTTGGGACAAGTTCGTGGGGAAAATATTTCGTGAAATCAATATTTTCAAACCCAGTTATTTTATGTTTGACACCTGGACAATAAGACTTACCGTACATCGCCCGAGGTGATCACCCATCCACTCCAGGTGAAATTTTCACACCTCGCTTCACCCCAGTCAGTGGAAAACAATAGATCGACCATCGCCCGATGGTCACCGTACTGCTTGCGAGGTTCAGGTAAGACCCGGCGAGATAAACTCACACTATGGGTATCGGTCAAATCCGTCATGCTCTATAATTTACATACAAAGAGCGATGTAACAAACGCTTGATTGACGCGCTATAGTTATAAGTGTTTAACTCTGTGTCTGTGACGATAAGTACACCGTTTATCATGACCTGTGTCTAAATGTAAATACAGCATGGTTTGTAATTAAAGTAATAGTTTATTTCATATTTTCGCTAATTTCTATTTCGTGCGATTAAAATTTCGTTGGGATTATATTTCATGGTTTTCTTTAAACCACGAAATAAACGAAATTAAATCCCCAACGAAATATTATGCTTTTACAGTAATCTGTATTTAACGTTGAAATAGTGTCTCATAGGTCAACTTGGCCGGATAATTAATTCTATCAATTTTGTTTCAACTAGAAACTTTAAATTGTGAATGGATATGTGACTCTTTAATAAAATAAATTATTATTATAAGGGTTAATATATATCACAAGACATCCAATCGACATTAGCCTATAATTGGATGACAACACGTAATCACCTTTTGTCATGCTGTGTACACAAACGCCAATCATGTCGTCGTTGAACAGCACTACTACGTGACCAGTTTCTGTGCAGGATTATATATATTGCAAAGTTACTGTACCGTTACAGTCCAAATATACGGAAATGTATCAGTGAAAAATGTTAACAAATAACTTCAACGTTGGTGTCTTCTGTGTTTGAGTGTCAAAAAAACGTATAGCATATTTTCGGTATTACCGTTTAATGACAAATTGACTACACTGTGTCGTCCTTATGTTAGGTCGACAATTCAAATAAACAACAAAATACCGACAGTTACACATTGAATATCATTATACAATACAGTACTTATTGATGCGATGCTAAGTTATATCGAGGACTTAGATAATCTGAGTCCGTGATTATATTTATCTCGAAAATATAATTGAATTATGAAGGTTAAACTTTTTCTCTCCATATACATGTAATATACACAAGTTATAATTTAACATCTTGGTTCAATAATGTAAAGCAACTCGATCCACTCCTTTAGCCGGCTTAGTTTTAAAATTTGGGTACAGGTACATCACACTAAACACACCGTGTCCAGTGCTTGATTGATAGGTTTTGCGTCCGCTTCACTACCGAGTAGTTTGGATAATCACAGGTAAAATATACAGGTGTGAAACCACGTGATTATGTGGCTTTTCAAAGCAATAAACTGAATTGAATTGGATTACCAGGTACAGTTTTCTTACCTGTGGGTCTTACCTGGGAATCTCCAATTAACTCATTACAGCATAATTATGACAGTGGTAATACAGAACTTGTGTGGTGTTTGATCACACCTCTAACCCCCTTAGAGCACAGGTCTGTTATTTCAACCGGCAGGTGTGATATGCTTGAATCTACCTGAAACTATGCTTTACCTGTGACTACATGTGCCATTGTAATTATCCATGTATACAGCTAATAATGTTTAAATATCATATCAGCATGGTAATAATGTAATGTGATCGCACTGCCAAAGTATTATAAAACATTTCTAATTTACATTTATATCATGGCAGCACCCCTACCTCTACAAAATTATAGAAACAACCTATATACTGAAAATATTCCGTTATCATAATTCTAATCAAAGACGAATAAAACCAGTATATACGTACGTATCCGCTATAATTTTGTTTATGATACATTGTATCTTATTAAACATTATTAATTCAATTCAGGTTATTGCATTGGATATCCACATAATCACGTGGTTTTCACACCTGTACATCTTACCAGTGATTGACCGAACTACTCGGTAGTGAAGCGGACGCAAAACCTATCAATCAAGCACTGGACACAGGTGTGTTTAGTATTTTGTACCTGTCGCAAATTTCACACCTAAGCCGGCTCAAGGAGTGGATCGAGATGCTTTTCATTATTGAACAAAGATGTTTAATTATATCTAAGTCCGTGGCATTACACATCAATAAGTACTGTATTGAATAATATCAAATGTGTAACTGTCGGTATTTTGTTGTTTATTTGAATTTTCGACCTAACATAAGGACGACACAGTGTCGTCGATTTGTCATTAAACGGTAATACCGAAAATATGCTATACGTTTTATTGACATTCAAACACAGAAGACACCAACGTTGAAGTTATTTTGTAAATATTTTTACTGATACATTTCCGTATATTTGGACCGTAGCGGTACAGTAACTTTGCAATATATATAATCCGGCACAGAAACAGATCACGTAGTAGTGCTGTTCAACGACGACATGACTGGCGGTTGTGTACACAGCATGCACCAGAGTGTGACGAGAATTACGGCCCGTGATATTCTTGTCAATCAAACAACAGCGGAGCATCGACAAGAACATCAACCAATCATCGCGAGGGCCCACCTCTCTACCGCGCGTGATTGACAGGTATATCAACCAATGAAACGGTGCCATTTTCGTGTAAGATCAGTGCACAGAACTTATCTTAACACCTACTGTATATCAATTACATCATTCACACGGCAATATATTTTATCTATATATGTATATGATAATGATTACTAATACTACTGGAACTATGAGTAAAATGTACTGATACCTAACATATTACGTTAATACAGAGAAGGTCTCTGGTTATGATATAAAGGAAACCAAAACAAAATACCTTTAGTTTATATATTATTCTGATTGTCATGGTTGACCTGAAGCGGAAACGTATATACTACTTACGGCTTTATATGTCTCTGTCTGAAGACAGGTAATACAATATTCAATATTAATTCTGATAATTCATATATTTAACAACCGGATCACGCTTAGCCTTTTATATAAGAAGTTTCATAGGTTCTAAATTTTAGTAATCACAGGTTCGTTAGACGAGAGCAACTGTTTAGACTATACACCAAAGTCGTATATATTGTAATATAACGTCTCTGGTTAAGAATAATGCTCTATTTTTTTTCTCTCTTTACTTTATACAGTTTTGATAACTGACATACGGATGCACATTATCTTTCTGAAATGGTTAAGTTCGCTTTAAATGAATAAAGAAACAAGATATTTCGAAAATTTCGTTCACTTTAAACACATAAGTGTACGTAACTTAAATGGTATTTTTTCTAATGAAAGCCTTTGTGGAGATCATTGTCATTATCACTCGAAGTTTCAACAACCCGGGAGCTTACATTGCTGTTTTAGGAAGTTAACAGGAGTACCTCGGATACCAGATGTGTAACTCATTAGTGTATTCATGCAAAAGATACATTGTTGAAATGTAAATATACATTGTTGAAATTCATACATTCCGATGACGTCACGTTGTTGACTGACAGGACGGCTGGATTGTGTGTTCATTTACATACGTTTACTTTGATGACATAAATGGACGCGTTTTATGTAAAGAAAAAGGCTATAAATATAAGGATTAACTTTCTATTCAATTTAGGTTATCGGGTGATAACTACAATGGAACCCGGGTAAATTATTTTTTCTTTATCACCCGATAACCTAAACTAAATAGAAAGTTCAACCTTAAATATTATAACATGAAACATTAAATCAGAAGGGATATTCTTACGACAGTACAGGAAAGATAAAGTTCCATTTAATTGAAATTATATCAGTAATGATTAAAAAAACACCAAAATATGAATAAAATACATTTATGTTAAATACAATAGAAATTAAAAGCTGAGAGGACAGGTGATCGGGAATCTCCTTACTAAGAGGATTATATAAATCACAAAACTATTAACAACATAAAAAACGATTGAAAGGTATATGAAGCAAAATAGGAACGTAAACTGTCTTAACATATATATATATATACAGTGGTTCGTTTATGAACATTTACCTCGGACCGAACGGAGCCGGGGGATATAGTTTACGTAATATAAGTTGTATACGACATCGGGACGTACTTATCATTCGTCATTAAATATCGTTAATATTGAGAGTTCATATTGTGTCTTTGATTATTATATGAGTGATCAGAGACGTATATACTGGCTTCATGTGTCCCTGGAGTGATGTATCAAAGCACCAGTTCAGCAATACGGTAAAAGTTATGCATTATTCTCAAATGGTCGTTCATTTCGATCCTAACCCTGGCCGTAGTACAAAATAAGCATTATTTCCTTGGTCTTTATTTATTTCATTCGAAGTAAATATAAGTGTACTATCGACCTGTGTTATTATATCGTTTTGATTACGGAATTAGAGCAACCGTCGTTGCATAGCTATACCGACAACACGGCCAGCAAGGCAGGGACTATAGACTGCCTCACCTGTACGGGCTTCGCCGGAGCGCGGCTACATCAAAGGGAATACCGCTGTGCGAGTGAGCGGGACAACGACTTAATTTTCGGGCGCCAACGACTAGTTTTCGGGAACAAAGGCACAATCTTATTGAATTGTTATGTTCCTGAAAATTGGTTGTTGTCCCTGAAAATTGGTTGTTGTTCCTGAAAACTGGTCCATGTCCCGATAACTTGGATATGGTTTTTAAATTTAAATGGTGCTCCGCTAATTTGGAGAGTGTTTCCGTAATTTGGGCCATTCAAATATGATTTAGATTGTACATCATTAAGTTAGCCATGCATAGATTATTTAGCTGGTACGTCATTAAGTTGGGTCATGGATTTATGATTTAGATTGTGTTTTGTAAAATTCGATGCTAATTGAAGTTAACTGGTATAAAAAGGTAGATTAAGTCGTAGAATTGATTTTTTCGTTCTTAAGTGTTTCTCAGTGGTACCAATTCATCAAATAGCAATATAATCATCTTAAAATGTGCTTTCATTGACATCGCCTGATATTGCTTATAACAATATAGAGTCATCAACAAAAATCAAAGTTACCGAAGATGTTTGGTTCCCTTGGGCCTTTTATATGTTAATAGCTATGGTCATTTGAACGTGCCAGGTTTTGATGCTGGCGGAAAACTGGAGTACCCGAGGAAAAACCCGATGCCCTGCGTAAGAACCTTGCCTCGAACCCGCTACCTAGTGGTTGATGGTTAGTGATTATATAGGTCAGGTATCTTAACCACTCGACCACCGCGGCCTTCTCGAAGGGGTGCAGCACTCTGGTAGATCGATGAAACGAAAGGTTTTAACCTATATCACGTTTTCCTTAACGACTCCACGATAACAATTATTCTCTGTATTCGGAGTCTATTCAACAGAGTTTTTGCGTACTAAATTCATAGCTGCGGAATACACTTACATTTAAAGATCTTCTGTGTGGAACTTTATCGAATGCCTCCCTTTAAGGATCCCCGTACCATAGCCCAGTTATGTTATTACTCACCGGAAATTGATTTGTCAATCATGACGATAGCTTTGATAAACTATTTCTAAAATGGAAAACATACCTTGCAGAATTTTCATGAAAAAAAATATATAAAGATGAAATAAACTAACCGTAAACGACTACAGTCTTCTGAGCGAAAATTAATTCAGAGATGTTAGACCGGATTTGTACCATGGACTTCAGATTGTTATACAGTGTACTAGCTCTATCCGACTGAGCAACCTGGTCAATGGAAGAGTATTACCCTAACCCTTACCCTAACCCTAACCCTAACTGCGCTACATTATTTTTCCAAAATGAAATTTAGTGGAAACTACTTTATATACAGTGCAGTTGGACAGGGATCCTTATGCCCATGTATGCTATATCCAGTTCATTCATCAATGATTTTAGGCATCTAAAGCAGTGTATAACGAAGATGTAAGCCAAATCGTCCTACTAAATAACGTGTTTTCTTCAATTAACTTATTGGGGTACTTTCAATAGTGTTACAAGCCATACTTGTTCTAATCAATTATTGGCCATAATTTCCCAATTCTGATCGCTTTAGTTGAATAGAGCGGTCATTAATATTTGCAATTTTTCATGATTGATGGAGAATCATTTCCTTCTTGTAAAGAGGTGTTGACTATCATTGGCCATGGGATTACGTATAATCTTGGCTATTTCCTTTAACAATCTAAGATATACCATGTCAGAATACTATGACTAATTTGAATCCAGTTATGATTATTCCTCTCCCCCAAACCTTCCTCTGCCATCACACTTCCCTGAATTTCCCCGTTTCAGATATCTCGGTTCAGTTATAGGTACACTCTTTGTTTTGTTTTGGTATAAAGTCTACCAAGACAATTCCTTTTTTCGGATTTATAACCGTGGTAACGGGTCCCGATATTTCTGACTAAGGAAATGGATCAGCTATACGTTTTTTTCAACTTTCGCTTCGATTTTTGAGGGCCGCGGTGGCCAAGTGGTTAAGGCGTTTGACATTCCGCTACCACTAGCCCTCTCCAGTGGGTCGCGAGGTTCGAGGTCTACGTGGGGCAGTCGCTAGGTACTGGCCGAAGGTCGGTGCTTTTTTTCCGGGAACTACGTTTTCCCTCCACCACCAATACCTGCCACGTCGTTAAATGACCATAGCTGTTAATAGGACGTCAAAAACGTACAAACCAAAAAATCGTTAATACATGTGTTTAGAATCATAATAGTTACTAGTCTAACTCCCGTTGCATACTAAGCTGAACCAAGCTACACTATATCCAGGAGGTTATTATATTCAGTATCTTTTACCAACTCCTGTTCCTATTGTAAAATATAGAGTATAAGGGTTCCTTCAGATTATCGATCTTGTACTCCTATCTACATGCTGAAATAAAGAGTCACCTCTTAGATTTGTATCAAATTCCTCGCATTCATGACCTCCTGTTGTATTACAAGATTGCCAGGATTTTTTTTCCATTTTCCATGACTAACGGAGATTTTTGCCAGAATGTTTACATAAAATATTGTCTAGTTTTTTAACAACAGGAACGATTTTGATAATTACTAGTTGTCAGCACCTGTTTTATGTCCAACATGGTCACGCTTTCCATTTATATAACATATAGCACCCTTATTCCAAGAATGTTCCAGATCTTATTTGACTAACTTTCCTTTATTCATACTGAACAAGAGGAGTCTTAAAAAGTAAATTCTCTTTTTTTATAGGCGCCTGCTTCTTCAATCGTCACTTCGAAGCGACTCTCTCCGTTTTTATGAATGTAATTTTCCCTTGGCTTATGTGATCCTACTTTGGACAACATTCATTAATCGCTCTGAAGGAAAGTCTTTTTAAAGATTTAAGCTCATTTTCCTATTGAGACGACAGGAGGATGTAGTATTGACACAACAATACGGTTTACCACCCCTATCCCTCATTTCGCGGAACGTCACATCTTTAAACATTATATCGGTAAACAAATTTTTACGGATTTCCCCGGACTTCCTTCTATTTATATATCATTTATGAATAGGAAAATTTCAAGGGTAAAAAAAATCAAAACAAACAAAACCGATTGCGATGCTTTAATTAACAAGATAATAACTAATTTACATAACAGGTGCTTTTATGGTAAAATTATTACTAATAACATTATAACATATTATATAAGCATATCAATGAAATCAAATATCACAGATTATATTCCAGTTAAAGAACGATACTTCCGTTTATGTTCCTAAAATGGATAGTTCAATAATATAACAAAACAAACTTAATATCAAGCAGTCCAGACGTTGTCAATAACTTTGGCAAAGGCCTTTATAAGATCTGCTATATACTGTACAGGTATCAACTGTTAACAACCACAGCGTAGTTCGTCTTTTTAAAGAAAACAAAGATGCACTGATGATCTCCATTACACCACAATTTGAAATTAGTATAAAGTGTCAATTATAGCAATAGTGCATAAATATCTGACCATTATAAGGAATTTCGAAAGCAAATATATATATGAATTTATTCTAAAAGATGAATTTAATTTAATAATTATATATAAATCTCACATTATATACATGTGTGACATGAGTGTCATGTGATGAAAAAGGAATAAAGAAAAATGAAAAAGCCTTTCAGTAGGCAAATGATATAACATGGTAAATATGTAATTTAACATAACAGAATACACTTTTGTATAAAATAATGATAAGATTTCCAAAGACCAAGTCCAAGCTACAGGAACATTCCCTCACATCAACAAATACAATTAAAGCATACCTTTGCGCATGTGGAAATGCTCGCATTGTGATTCTTGAAACTGATTATTGTTTTAAAATGTTCGCGTTGGAAGTATATTTCAAATCTACATATAATCAATAATATATTTAATCTATGAATATATATATGGATATTTCCGCACTTATTTAATAAACGCGAGCAATTCCACACCGTGAAAATTTCCATTTTTTGCAGTAATCATATCCCAATCGGGAACCGTCAGCAATTTCCGTAAACGAGAAAATACTCGTGTACGGAAAGTGCCGACGGTTCCTGGTTGATCAGAGGCAAGAGAGAAGTTTACCATTTTCCTTACATCATATACATTGCTTTGAAACCACAGAACCAACATGTCAAGCAATATAGTAAAATGACATCAAACCATCCGAGCTATTCCATTCTCCGCTTACTTATATAACAATATTTTTAAAAAAAACTTATCATAACCACTTAATAAAATAAATGTCATTAAAAAACGAGAATGTGATAACAAAATCGATGCACAAATAAAAAAAACTATCACAAAAAAGAATCTGAGTTATTTCTGCTGAATTATAAACCATCTGATGATGACTAGAAATATAAACCTCAACACAAATATAAATACTTGCTTCAAATTGAGGATCACAATTATGCACTGATCATTATCACAAATGTATAACAATATTGCGAAAATGTGGAGATTATGATATTCTTTTTCATTCTGGGGATATCATTCTAGTATATATTGGATTGTCATAGTTTATATTTAATCTGTGGGGTTATAGTTCCAATATCAATACGTGGGACAATAATATTTATTAATGAGAGTGATTTGTGAGGGGAACTTTTGTGACATCCACATTTGGTAAAAATACTGGTTTCGGTTCAAATGTGCGGGATTACTACTGATATAACTATATAGAAAAACAATAGTCCCGAAGTAACATTGTGTGGGATTTGTTCTGATATCACTATGTTAATCAAAATTAAGGCATTTATTAACGGAAACTAGAGCGCGACAGATAGACAGAGCCCAATGTAAATATCCTCATTTCTGCTCCAAAACGTATAGGATAAACATAAAATATGGTACATCGACTGGGACAAATTTTCTTTAATCAAAGTTTAGCAAAGTTTGACATCACACCTTAAAATATGCAATACATTCCGAAAACATAAAATAAAATCAACATTCTCATCCGCTGAGAAATGTCAAGAAATTGAATAAAAGCAGGAACAAAAAACATTAATAAAATGATACCTTTTAACAATAAATATATTACAAAAGGCTTCAAGAGAGCCATTGAACATTTTTACCAAAAAACATAAAAAGGAGGAATGTCAATTTTTTCAAACAACTTTTGACACAACAACAATAGTTCAATTACAGCAGAGTAAATAACATGGTATATTTATCAATTAATGATACTAATGGTTATCTTAGAGACTATTTCAGATTTGATTGTGAGACAGGATCAGTAGAAAGTCTATAGGTGTTGGGTATAATTTACATTCATTCAACGGTTCCATACATCGTTGTCTATATTCGTTGGACAATGCCATTTCTGAAACATTGTCTCCAAATCTATCACTCCGTGCCACATTACCAATAGGGTTTTTTTAACTCTAAAATGAATTCTTGATTAGAAGCATGGGATGGGGAATATAAAAAAGATATTCTGAGAGCTACATGAACTAAATGAACAATTAGCATCAGCAGTCATGCAATGTTTAAAATTATAGTATATTCCTCAAATATAGCACTTTCAGTGACATAGAGAAAAATACATATTGTCATATTTCACATTTATTCAAAGGAGGAAACCACAATAAAAATATATACACGAATGTCTTGACTATGGAAAGTTTTTGAAACATATAAACATGATTTCACAGACTAATTACATAAATATAATTTGAGAAACCAGTAGGTATGATAATGTTATAGCATCAACAGATCAACCTACTCAATAGAATATCCACATTATAAACGGAAAGGAGAATAAAATATATACTAGAAAAAAACTTTGTATCATGTTATATACGTATGATGCAAAATTCGCACATTTGTTAAAAGTCAAATTTTCTCTTATCTGAAATTTCATGGTTTTATCTAATTGGGATTACATACAGGTGCGTGGTATATTAGGGTTCGTGATAAAAAGCCTGCATTCTGGGTTTTTTTACAATTCGATAAAAACGATCAAAATTATTCTACCTGAATATGTTTATTACATAAGGATTCAACATTTTAACAAACAAAATCTGTATCTACAGCAGATAAAAAGCAATATACAAACAATCATTAAAATATTCTTAAAACTGTAAATGTCACGATATATGGCGCTTAACGAATACATGTATAGAACAGCATTTGACTTTGGATTTCAATTTCTTATAAATTATCTTATCCCTGTACAACATAATCACCTAATTTGATAATGCAGGGTATTCTTCACGATGGGAAACATAACATAAAAGGGTCGTGAAGTAGTACACAAACAATTATTTTCTCATATTTTTTAATGTTCCATATCAGTCTATATTATATATTTTCGAACAGTTGCATTTGCGAAAATCCATTTCAACAAAAATAGAAATGATTCTGGCAAAAAAAATTCAGAGAGCTTCATAACTTCTTTAACCATATTTCGTTTTCATACTTTCCTCAACTCTTTTTCTGTAGTCTATTCGAGCCTAGTACCTTTAATCATATAAATGTCCCTTAAGTTCTATCTACCCGACCAAAACTGTTTACCTGTTTAAGCCCCGCCTATTCTATTCCCCCCTGTTTATGTCTTTCCATTTAGACCTTATGTTTTATTCTACTCTGCCCTTACTGTCCATCCATCGCTGATCCGCTACTTGTGACCCCTTACTGTTTATGTTTTGCTCTACCCCTCCCTCTGCCCTTCCCCTTTCCTGTCTTTTCCCTATGGCGAACGGGTTCCTGGACAACATCTTCTAACTGGTCTTTTGAGCTCTCAGCTGTTCCATCTTTGGTCTGTTAAAATTGAAAAAATAATTTAAGATATAGATAGACTTAGTTTGTTCTTGATTATAGACAATCTACCCTTAAGATGCATACAAGAGCAATTACTTTGGAATTGATTAGGTCTAGAAACTATGTACTGTAATTGCGTGACGAAACGATTTTGATCCTAGGTTTTAATCATTAAACTTTGATCATTGAATGAGGGTCGCGAAAATACATGCCACATTGTAAGAGGTCCTTGACCTTAATTAGTCGGAGTTCAGGTAAGGGTCTGGAAGAAACTTCATGACACACTGCATGGTAGATATAATATTACAGTGTACATATGATGTTATTTCGCCCTAACATTACTACCCTGGACTTCAAACGAAAACCACAGGCGCAGAACATTACATCCCAGTCCGATGTCAGGGTGACATACTTGGAATCCGTCTGATGTATTCTTATATCAAAATGTATGAAAACATAGAAATGTGACAAGTAACTATATATAACATATTTTTGAATTTCAGTTAAAATATATTTTTGGATGTGATGATGAGAGAAAAATGTACTTCATTAAGCTGCAGAAATCACAAATGTCATATTATCGTTTAGGTTTTAATTTTTAATGTACAACAATTGCTTCCTTTCACCCATATTTTAAATCTGAAAAGAAGTAAACGAAGAAACGATTTTTTAAGTGCTTCCTAATTGCATAGCAGCTTCGCTCAAATTGAAAGTTGCTTTTCAAAAAACTAAATATTGGCAATTTCATAAAAAAATACCAGTCATATTTGTTTTAGAGCGTGGAACCGAATTGGAGCGCCGAGTTTTCATTATGTTAAGATTTTTATACAAGTTCTATTTGAGACTTTGTCGTTATCTGAAATACATTTCGACAAAATCTCATCATAATCTTCTATTTTGTTTTAACTAACCATGATTTAATATGCTAATTAGTTATGTGCAGGTTTTGCTTTACTTCTATCGTTACTTGTGTCTTGTAATACTGTTATACCAAGATTCATTTCAATAAAATGCTATTTGAAAAAGTTATTATAGCAAAAGCAAAGTGTAGACATATGGAAGTCCCATCACAAGTTAAAAGTTGTGGCATACGTAAACAAAACATTCTAGAAGTATCATAAAACACACCTCATACATTACATATGTTTTTACAATATCATTAAAATGGAATCATGATTAATATAAATATGTAAAATGAGCAAACATACCTCATGTATTCTTTTCCACCGCTCCTCAACGTAAATTTTGACATCGTGGAAGTACCCTTCAGCTTCGTCGAAATACTGCATCAACATATTTGTATTCCTCCAATCTCTCTTAGCAAGGATCGTTTCAAATTCTTTCTTGGCTATGTCTGATTGGTTGACTAGCCTGGTCAAATCTAATTTCATGTCTGCATAGTTCTGAAGTCCTTTTTCTGATTTGAGATTGTGTTTCCTGATAAATTCTACAATCTCTTCCTGTCTCGCCGCTATCTTAGTTTTGTAAGCCTGCTTGAGTTGTTTGAAGTCTTCCATATTTCGAATGTGCGAAAGGCTTTGCTCATGTATTAACTTCTGTTTTGCTCTCCGACACTCTTCACTTTCCTCTAAAAGTTGGTTGTCACCTGCTTCATCCAGAGATCCAGTAAGATCTGTTGATGTCTTAAAAACTTCAGACGGGTCCTCCACATTGGTGTCATGACCGCTTATACTGACTAAAGCAGAAGAATGATTGGTTTGGTTCCTGCCGGAACTAGGGGTTGGACCGGCGGAATTGGCTCCAACGCTCTGATCCTGTATCAGGTTTTCAGATAGTTTGTCAAATATGACATCACAGATTGTACAGGCCTGGTCATCTATGCCAAATTGTTCGAACCTCTTCAGATGTCTTTCAGTCTGCTCTTTCTGTAGTTCTTCCTCTACAAGACAATGAAGGATAGAGCATTGCAATCGAAAGCGAATGTGTTTAAAGAACCCGGTAATGATCATGGCTGCACTCTCCTTCCGTTGGTTCTCTTCATATGTCTTCTGTTCATTCTCCCACTTTAATTTCTCCTCCATGGTCATATCCGTGTCCAAGTCGACTAAAGATCTAGCAATTTCATCTGTGTCCTCTTTTGTCGTACTTTCTTCCCCTGGATTTGTCATCATTTTCTTCGTATTTTGATCAAAAAACGTCGATGGAAGTAAATCCAGTTTGTCAAGACGAGTTGCTTTGACTCCATATCGGCCATAGGTTGACCACAGACAAAGACACACATGCTCCTTATCTCGGTCGTGAAGAAGTTCTTTCAGCGCTACTGCGATGTCTGATAGGCCATCTGCCTCCTGCACGGCACGCACAGCCTTTAGCAGGCGTTTGGGACAATCTTCCGGGAGAGCAATACGACACAGCTGCTGCATCAGGTCAGCTTCCTTGGTGGCAAACAAAGCCTTGCCCATGTTACACAGGACAGTCATGCACAAGACCAACAACCTCTCAGCTAGGCCGTAGTCCTCAGCACGGTCATAAGGCGCCTTAAAAAAAAGCCGAACCAGATTCATTCGGATGTCTGACCCACACAGTACCCCAATGATCTTTTCTGTTTGAGTTTGACTGGGAGTTAGATCGTGTCCTCTACGGTTTTTGTGTCGCTGTATGAGCTCGAAGGTCGGCTGTCCGTTGTTCTTAAAGCTAGAGTCGATGAAATAAACAAGGCTGAGGTAGGACGCTGGTAGGAAAAAGGCATTTGTAACTTGATTATTCTTTGCTCCGAAGCAGACTGCAATTGTCGTGAAGTATTCAATCCACATAAGAAAATCGGAAAACTCAGGAAGTATTTCAGACTTGTTACAATGCCCCAGAGTCTCGATGAACTTGGTGAACTTGATGAAAGCCTCCAGCGGGTCACCAGGGAGAGTGAGTTGGTAGTAAGCATCATGGAATCGTCTCGCTACGCATTGGACAGAAATATTTCGCATATCTCTATCATCAACAAGAAATCCGAACGGTTCTAATTTTTCCCTGATTTGGGTTTTGTTTTTCCTGAGGTGCTCATTCCGAATCTTCATCTCCAATTCCATCATCAGATTGCTCGTATCAAGGTCTGTTAAATGAAGATAATTCGCAAGGAAGAAAAGCTTTATGAATACATCAGCGTTGGTTTTCGTTCCCTTGGTTTTCATGTAGTTGAACTTGGCTTGTAAGTAGCGAACCATTTGCACTTTTAGATATTTACGCTCTTTCGACCGCCCTACATTTCGAATGTATTCTTTGCAGATATGATCCCGGAATCTATTGGCTTGCGCTCGTCCCTTTTCTGTCATTCTGAAAGGGAAGTGTTCACTTGGCATCAGGTGGTGAAGCAAAACCTCGCAGGATTTAAAGCGAGCAATGGGGTCATGTGTGGTGTCTGGAAGAAAGTCATTCTCCAGGTCAGTGAGGTTAAACATGTTGTCCTTACTCAGGCGACCACAGCCTTTTTGAACATACCAGTCCATCTTCAAGTGAAGCAGATCAATATTAAGCAAGATTTTCAGGTCCTCCTCTGTCATGATGTCGTGTCTGGCGGAACATTTGCCTCCATCTGCAGCCTTGGTACAGGTCAGACCTAGAACATATTCTTGGCACTGCTCGCTTTGTATCTTGAGCTTTTCAAGAGCTTGTGTTACTTTACCATACCAAGTTTTACCACGATGCAACAGGAAACGACAAATTTCATCCCGTGCTATATTTCTCGCAACTTCACATTCAGTCTGTTTCCTTTCTTCTTTGGTCAGGCAACGTTTCATGATATTCAAGGCACGCGGTCGTTGCTGCGGAAGCATTTTCAGAAATCCATCAGAGGCCGGCCTCAATCCATAGTACTTGTATACCCTCTCACTGCCAGATTTATCGGAGGACACCAGAAGACTTAGAACTCCAAACAGATTGTCCATACCTTTTACTACTTGTAACAGGTTCTGGAAGTTGTGGAGATCAGAGTTACGGACCATCCAGTCCATACACTCTAATTGTCCTGCTTCACACCTGGGGTTACATTTGTTGAATGCTCCCCAAGATTCATTGATATCTGTGATTTCATTTGTTATCTCCCCTTTTAGGACGCAGGCTTCGCCCCGAAGTTCTTGATTTGAAGTTTGAAGTAGGATATCGATGGCTTCTTGAAGTATCTGGAGAACCTCCTCTTTCTTAGCTTTCATTTGTTCATCTGAAAGTTTATTTTCTGGTTTCTTCCTTATTATCACCTGAGCATTCATAAGCAGACATTGCCCTATCAGATCTTTGTTTGTGGACCGTCTTGCAGTTTCTACAGCCTCCTCATTCTTCCCATGGATAAGGTAAAGATCAATGGCCTCTATATGGTTTCCTGCAAATAAAAAATATATTTTGTTTATGTAGAGCAAAAGTAATAAACAACAACACAAGAAAATGTTCAGCAAAGGTTCAAGAGTTTTGAATACTCTTTGCTAATAAGGAAATAAGATTGAAACATGTCCGATATTTTGGTAGGAGAGCCGCGATCAAAGTAAGGCACTTAATTTGTATCAGTTTAGATCCCTCAATTTAGTTACAATTCTACCCATGTTAACACATTTTCGATTATTAGGATCGTCAGCCTCTATTACCGTTGTCACAGAGTGCTATCACTAGAATGTGGTTGAAATCTTCCAATTTCATTTGGTAAAGTAATCCAAAGCAAATAATCCAATTTGTCCCCTTTTACCTAGCCGTTTAGTTTTCAGGAGGGTTTATTTGTAGAACGATTGATCCCAATGGCCCAAGTATACTATCACCACAATTGTTAAAGTCTGCTTTGTTAGTAAGTAAGATATTGAATTTTAAACGGCCCATCAACGTGGAAGAGGTCTGTGGGGAACAAAACAAAATACAGAAAACACGCAAAAGGATATGACAAAAAAAAATATACGTTGTTTGTACCAATCCCTTTGCTTTATGTTAACTTATGGCAATACATTATGTTCAAACTAAAAAGCAAAGCAAAAGCAAAAAAATGCTTATGGTTAATTATGTCTTTTGGAAAAACCAAAAGTTTTAAAGTAGAATTGTTGCTATATTTACCGTTTCGAGAGGAGATTTGATATATTATTATCAAATTTTCTCGTGTTTCCTGAAGTAAATTGTAATAGATATTAACAAATGTTTTACTGTAAAACGTGCGTGAAATGCTATGTATTGAGACTGGCCCTCTTGTTTAATTACATAAGAATAGGTAATGTATGAATGGTGATGGTTTTTCTGTGTAATTTGTTTAAGCGTTTATTCCAATTATAAGTAAAGGGAGAAATGTATATTAATCAAAGTTGACACAAAATAGATGGCATGCGTACAATACACAAAGCCCATAAAGAAGCCAGCTTATGATAATATGATTGTTGAATGAACTCTCCGCCTTCCATGTGATGATGATGATGATGATGATGATGATGATGATGAATTTTGAGAATAAGATGATGATGATGATGATGATGATGATGATGATGATAATATTATAATAATGATTATGTATTTATGGTGCGATTATGATTTGATTATGCTAAGTTTATTATAATGTTGATGACGATGATGATGATGATGATGATGATAATGATGATGATGATGATGATGATAATGAAATAGTGTAATGATTATGATGAAAATTATATAATGATGATGATCATGATGACGATGAGATGAGGATGAGGATGATGTTAAAAAGATGATGAGGACGATAATGATCATGAATTAGTGTAATGTGTGCAAGTGTGAATTAGTGGTTCTTGAGTGTTCATATGCTATGTTACATACATTGTATCTTTGAAAATGCTTGAAAAAAATATTAAATTTTAAAAAGGCAGCTTATGATAATATCGTTGAACTCTCCGCCTTCCATGGAAATGGAAAAGTGCCTCAAGAACAGTTTTGATATAGGGATCATTGTTCACCAGAAAAAAAAATGGTTTGGATAAACATCTAAAACGTTATGAAATACCAACCTTCTTTTTGGAGAAGTGTGGCAGCCTGGTCAAAGTAGCCCTTGTTTTTGAGGAAGGTTATACGGTCACTAAGGTGTTCCAGGCGCTCCAGGTTCACCAACATTCGTACCTCGTTATTGTTTCGGTAATGCAACTCAGCAGCCATGTGACTAAGACGTTCTCGTGTACGCAGTGTATCTGGTGCATGGTCCAATAACACAACAGGTACAGCTTCACCTTTAGACTGCAGATCCTGTGAATTATAGGGATGGATTATTATTACAATGAATCAACGAGAATGCGACCAAGGACAGCTGATCAGCTCCATTGCCTGAAGACAACTTACCTTTAGCAGTTTATTGTTATGCTCCCTTGCCTGGAGACCACTTACCTCTAGGTGTTTATTGTTACACTCCCTTACCTGGAGACCACTTACCTCTAGCAGTTTTTTGCTACCTCCCTTACCTGGTGGTCACTTACCTCTAGCAGTTTATTGTTACCCTCCCTTACCTGGATACCACTTACCTCTAGCAGTTTGTTGTTACCTCCCTTACCTGGAGACCACTTACCTCTAGCAGTTTATTGTTGCACTACCTTGCCTGGAGACCACTTACCTCTAGGTGTTTATTGTTACCTCCCTTCCCGGAGACCACTTACTTCTAGAAGCTTGTTGTTACCCTCTCTTGCCTGGAGACCACTCACTTCTAGAAGCTTGTTGTTACCCTCCCTTGCCTGGGGACCACTTACTTCTATAAGCTTGTTGTTACCCTCCCTTGCCTGGAGACCACTTAACTCCAAGAGTGTGTTGTTACCCTTCCTGGCCGGGAGACTACTTAGCTCTAGGAATTTTATTTTGATACCCTCCCTTGACTGGATACCACTTACTTCTAGGAGATTTTTGTTACCCTCCCTTGCCTGGAGACAACTTACCTGTAGGAGTTTGTTGTTACCTCCCTTGCCTGGAAACCACTTACCTCTAAGGGTTTGTTGTTACCCTTTCTGCCCGGAAGACCAATTAGCTCTAGGAATTTTATTTTGATACCATCCCTTTGCCTAGAGACCACTTACATCTAGAAGTTTGTTGTTACCCTCCCTTACCTGGAGACCACTTACCTCTAGCAGTTTGTTGTATCTCCAGAGCGTGTCTATAGCCATATCATAGTACTCGTTCTCACACAGAGTGTCGATCGCCAGGTTGAAATGTCCAAGTTGTTCATAACAGCGACTGCCTTCAATTGGCCGTTTTATCTTCCTGTAGATTTCCCCAGCTTTCTCAAGCTAAAACCAGCAAACACATTAATTTCAAACAAGAGGCTCATGGACCAATATAGACGATATATGCAGTAAATAAAGCTGGCAATAGAAAACAGACCAATGTAATATACGACTTTTCCAATCTTGTGCACCTCAATTTGTTTAGACCTTGATTTTCGATAATCAAACTGCCATCTCATGATTTCAATTCCAATCAAGTTTGAATCATATCTCACTGAAAGTAAGTAAAAGAAGGCCGCCAGAAGAATTTAATATCATAATCTGGTGAAATACATAATTTTGATAGAGCATCTTAGAACTTTTCCATCCATTAATGCTTTTAGATAGCTAGCACAATGGACGTGGTACTTATTTAGAAGCTTGTTCTTACTTTAGATCATTTAACACTTTTTAGGCCCAGCCCCTTGTGGTGAGCCAGAGTCTGAATTGGCGTACCAACAAACTGCAATCACATCGTAAACGAACCGACTGTACCAAATAAACGCTGTTTCCATATATCTACTATAGGCAATTTTACCCCTTAGCAGAAGGGAGGGGCGGGGGATGGTTGCAAAGTAGGAACATTATATCCATGAAGAATATTTCATTCTAGCCTAGCTTGGTTTGCAGAAGGAAAATTGTTGAAATTTTAGACCATGGCCTCTTCGGTCACAGGGGTGAGTTTTAAAAGATCTTAATTTTCATACCAACACACAACGATCAAGTCATAATTAATTCCATAAGGTTTAAAAACAAGTTATGATGATGATCATTAAATCTTAACATCATATACTTTAGCCATTTCAACAAATAATGATAAAAATGCACCTTGAATAGTTTAGTTATAAATACAGTTTGCCAAAATCCATTACAATGCATTATATAGCTTGTTTTTTTTCTAGGACTCATCGATGACGCTAGGGGACAAAACGTTGGAATTCCAAATAGTATAACAACATAATGAACAGGGAGGCATCAAGCCTAAGGAGCTACAATTTTGTATTGAATACACCAGCAGAGTCTATCAACTTGTATCATAAAAGATGAACGTAACAACAGACTCAGGTGATAGCATCTTTAAGATCTAGTATGTTGTTCAATTCTATTCATGTATCACCTTGAATAAATATTGATGAAATGAAATGAAATGATATTATGCGCTTGCTTGTTGTTGTAAACGTAATAAATATCATTTTTTAAGACAAGCTTTGTACATACAAGTCCAATCTTCTCGAATAGGTGGGCACCCAGCTCCCTTTCCCGAGCGTTTTGTAAACACTTAGCTGCCTGTGAGGGTAGAGAACAGTCTAGGAACCTCTTCGCAGCAAACAGAAACTCATCTCGCATGCGCTGGTGACTGTCCTTTGTGCGGGAGGCCTTTAATGCTTGCTGATGAGCCAGAGCCACTCTTTGTAGCTTATGATCTCTTCCCCGAATGAAGCACTTCGCCGCAACATCGTACAAAGCATGCTTCATGAAGTCTTCACCTCGTTTAATCCAGTCTTCTAAACTGGATTCCTCCGCAAACATGTCACCAATGGTCTCTGTACTCTCTAAGAGTTAAAAGGGTCAGAAATTGCAATTGTTAACGCGATCTAATCCAAATAAGACAGAGTTGCCGAAATATAAAACAAATGTTTTTCGAAATATGTTCCATAACTCGTGAGGTGATCAGGTTTGACTAATTCTGTTTTGTGAATGATCCAATTCAAAAAATATAAATCGGTAAACATCATTAATTTATACAATAATAGTAACTTAAACCAAATCATGTTTCCATATTGCTGTTCAGTGTGCATATAGATTATAGTCATTGAAGTTATCCTCGCAATACCTCCCCCAACAATGATTACATTTCAACAAAATTTGTTTGCACTTACATTTCTGCAAATGTTTGGCTGAGTTCGATCAGCGATTCATTTAGTGTATATTCACGTATGATAAGCTAAAAATGATATTCTATTCTTATTGATAAATTATTTTTCGTGGTTCAACGCTTCCAAATATTAACAAAGACAACGAAACACACACACGTGATTGCACCTATTCAATTGGTAATATATATGGTACGCCTAAAATGAATAACACTGCATCATACACTGATTCCAGGTGCCAAAAATGTGGAAATCAAAAGTGGCTTTAGCTACAATATATCTCTGAAACAGAATGGGACGAGCGTGCAAATCCTCAATTACGGGCAGAACACACAGGAATCGTGATAATTTCTAAAACCGGTTTACCAAAATATCTAAAACAATTCTAAAACACGGAGAAAATTAATTTGATTGAAGGCATGATATAAATCGTAAAGGTTAACTGTACCTTCATCTACATCTAATCTGTGAAGTATCTTAACCAGCTTGCGAGCCTTGAAATATTCAAACATGGGCGCCCGCTTGTCCTGATCTTCGTCAAAGATCCACACATTGACGCGAGCACGAGTCACCGCTGTGTACAGGTGTTTAAGATCAGAGTTCAGCACTTTGTGTAGACTGTCATCGAACGTCAGGGCCCTAGGTCGGTTGGCCTGCTGCAGTATATCTGCCAAGAAATGGAAAAAATAAAAAAAACATAGATATCTATTACAAAATAGTAAATATGTATGTGTCTAGTATCGGCATGGCACCTTAATTGTCCTTACCAGCGTCAATCTGTACAAGACTTTCCTTTTGTGATGGAGAGTTCTCTACTTTTGCTCCTTTAGTTGCCATGGACAGCTCTTCCAAATACTCTGTGACAACCCTCCATTCCTTGTTTGCCTGGATTGAAAGAAGTATTTACTTTATATGAATCATAACACCACGTTTGAATCACATTTTGTTTTGCAATTGTCCAGGTTTGAATTTTCGAAAAAAAGGGCTCAGGACGTTTTTAGTTTAAGTGTAAGAAAACTGGTATATATCAAAACATGAACACAAACTACAACATATTCAAACAAGTAGTAACCTTTTTGATGATAAATCAATATCAAAGCAACAATCTTAACAATCCTAATTCATTAAAAAGCGCTATATGTTATTTGAATTGTTGCAAGGAATTTTGACAAAAGTCTAGCGCTTTAAATTATACATTATTTACCAGTATTTTCATCCCTGGTCTCAATTTAAGCAATGTTCATGACCTGTACTTACCATAACGTACTAAGAATTAATAGGAAAAACAAATGGGATTATCATATGACAGTAAAGACAGCACGTGCAAAATTACTTTACAGGAAATGTTTTCAATGAATTACTATTTCATATGAGGCTGATGCTCAATTTCATTTTGCGAGACTTTTACGAGCTAGGAATAATACAAGATGAAACGTGTTCCGATGCTTCACCATGTCTGTTGGACAAATATGCCCGCCATTACCGAAACACGTTTAAAAAATGATAGAAAAGTTTACCTTTGAGTCCTTAAAAAAGTTGTAGAGCAGAATGTCATCAAACTCAAGTCCTTTGGCCTCATAGATGGTCAGAATAAGTCCTAGCTGCAACTCCTCAGGGATACTATCCCTTGCTGCTTCATCAACAACTAGTATTGCTTGATGTGCTCCACATTCAATGTGTGACGTTTTGCGTCGACTGCCACGCATCAGAACGGCAAGGTCACTAAAGCTACATGACTCTAACAATACTGGTGGCGGTCCGTTGAATAGACCCTTATCCTTCTCTAGACGGTCAAAAGATTCTGGGAAGAAACGGACCATTAGGTCAAGGATACTGGAGGCAAGACACAGAATGCCCGCATGAGACCTATAATTATGAGTTAGCTGGTGCACTCGCTTTGGGACTTCAATATTTGATACCTTGCCGTGGACCTGTAAGGACTTTTTAGCGTAGTAGAAGATGGACTTGAGGTCATTGAAGCGAAAAGCTATCCCACGCATGATGCTCTGAGCTGTGTCACCAGTGAGGAACATCTGGTTTGGATATTGACAGATTCGGACGAGAAGACAGAGCTCTGCTTGTGTGAAGTCCTGGGTTTCATCTACGAATACCTGATGGATTGCCCAAGAGATATCTGTCTCCTGTTGAAGGCGGTTGTATATTGACCGTACCAAATCTGTCTCATCAAACAGGAATTTCTGCTTCTTGAAATGCTCATATTTCTTGAAAAGATCGTATATGTCTGTACGTCTACCAGAAAAGTTTGGAGCTCGCTTCTTCCCAAGTTCGAAGTACTCTTCCTTCTCTAAAATTCCAGAGGGTTTTGACAGGGCTTCAAATGACCCCTTGATAAAGGACATAATTTCTGTCCATACCAGCGAAGGGTGGTATTTGCCACTATTTTTCTTGCAGATCTTTGGCCAGATTTCCTCACAGAAGACATCGTAAGTAACCTCTCTACGAGGATCAACTTTCACTTTAGCAGCTTGTTGTCTGTCATCATCATCCTCAAAATCATCAAACTGTCCATTATCATCGTCCTCGTCATCAGATTCCTCTGCCAAGAGAGGAAGGATGCTGAGCATGCCCTCACCATCGGTCCAGCCCTGAACATCAACCTTCAGTCCACCATCCTCTCCTCGCTCGAAAAAATAGGGATGTCCTAGAGATGCGTCCAGCATCAGCAACAGCTGTTTGGAGGTCATGAAGAGTGGGAAGTGATAATCATCAATGTCCTGTAGACGTGGAGGCAACACCTGGTCCTCGGTCTCCACTTGATTCTTTGTTATGGCACAGGCATGGTTCATCCCACGAAAGTTCTTTTGTACCTATCCAATCATAACAAATGTCTATGAAAGTGGATCGTTCATTCTCTTTACCTAAACTTATGTAGAGGATCTAACATGAGTTACCATTTGATAGCATATTAATAAAACGAAATGAGAATGTTTTAATTTTGCGATGCTCTGCCGAGCTTAATAAAAACATTCTTAACGAGTTTTATAAATCTCATATCAAATGAAAACGATTGTGAGATTCTGATTATCACATGTTGTAAAAAATTGACAAAACATCAATTTCAAACTCATTTTTTTAATATCTTTCTTTTAATAGTAACCGAATAACAGCTAAAAGAATATCATTCCACATAATGCGATTAAACACAGTTCCCAAATATGCACATAACTTTACAGTAGTATCAACTCATTTTATTATTTGAATTGTCAGCTTTTGTTTTACTTTGCAAACTAACATCGAAAATACGTGTTTGTTATTATTAATGCAAGTGAGACAATGTTTTTTTCACAACGACCTAAAACTTGACCTTGCCAGACTGGCAGACAGACGCGTCATAGCAGAAAGCCGCTTCACAGCACGCGCAAGTACAAAATTGAGGTCACACATGTTAACCAGCCGGACTAGTCACTGTCGCAGTCTCAAACGATTCTTCTTCATTTAATGACTCTTGGATGACTGACATTGTCATCTTTTGAAACCACATTGATGTGGAAGTGTCCTCTATACACATTACCACCAAATATTAGGTCCTTTATCAGGTATGGTTTTCACGAGCCCACTGTTGTCTTTATTGACTATATCATCGATTGTGAAAGTAGCAATAAAAAAGCAGTTGTGTTAACAGACAACGTCATGCGTATTAACACACACGAAAAGTGAATAGACTGACCAATCAAAACCCTCCAAGGTGTTATTACACGTGTTTTCATAACAATATTTATTTAATTGGTGTTATAACACTCATAACAGGGTAGTCATGAGATAAACATATATAACTTATGAACAAGAACACTGACATATCAAAAAGGGCTTTGTGTAAATCAGCAGTAGTTGCATTATTTCAAAATAAGGTGAGGTGATTTATCTGGTTATTTGCGACGACATTCCTACTACGGTGCAACTTCAAAACAAGAGGCCCAGAGGGTGTATATCGCTCGTCTGGTATGTTAGCACTTATGGCAAAATATTCTCTTTAAGAGTATTATTGCAATTAGGACATCTGGGATAGGTCCAGTCAAAGAGAACAATCCTGGTAGCATATATACATCTAAATTATCATGCACAGTTATTGTATATATTGTTAAAGGATTGGGAATTTAATGGTTCATTGTTGTGACCCAAAGACTAGTCTTCAACGGTTTGGTCAGACATTAGGGGCCATAATGATAGGATTTGTGTATTCGTGCCTTTCAACTCAGCAATTGTTCACATGACTGTGAGGTGAAAAACTTAATCATTTCAAGGTAAAATCCTCTTTTTGGCCCAATCCTTCAACTCCGGGTTTCAGCCCTTTAACTGATACAATTTTTAATTCCCACCGCATAAGAATATTCCCAACCAAATATGATTTATATCCATTCTCGGTTCCATAGATGAAGTCGCTGAATGCAATCTGACCAAATTACCGCTTTTTGCAGCCCTTTTTATTTGAACAATTTTGAATCCCCACTACCTGAAAATAAAATTATGTTTATTATATATCACAAATGTATCCTTCGGACCAATACGATGTTATCCTTGATACTCATTTATTTACCACTAAAATCCCCTTTTCACAACCAGTATATGTATTTAAGAGCACATCACATATACATCTGCCTAGTCTTTTCTCTGAATGACTGTCGGCTTATTTTCAGTGTCTTATTTAATTTGAAATCACCAGAATTCCTTCATGTCTTTTTGGCTCAATCATATTGTATGTTATACATTTCATAGAAAAGCTCATGCTGTGTTATTTTACGTTTTTAACAATTCATTTTATGCTTATTCAGAGATAGTGACAACAATGGGTTTTTTTCTGGAAGGACAGATAATAGACCGTGGACAAAGGGTGATTTGAACAGCCCACTATCCAAAGATATCAGGCTTCAAAACCTCAATCATAACATTTTCTTTATATTGCCAGGATGCTGATGTGAAATTCATCAAACTGTCTAGTTTTCTATATTGTACTTAGTTCATGAGTAATATCACATTATTTGGTCAGAAATATGTTCATTATGAAATATTAAATACTGTTTAAAATATCTACTAAGTTTCAAAGTGTGCTTATTTCTTCCTTTTACTTCTTTCTCAGTTTAACAGACATATGACATAACAATGGTAAGAGTGTTCTATTACATAACCATAATTTGTTAACTTAATTTTACCTCCAAATATCTATGTGCTCAGGTCGTCTAACACTAGAGTTGCCTCCCTTACCTCGTTACACAACACAGCATTCTTTGTGATAAAAATCTGATGAAGATGGTCGTAGATCTGTTCTTCTTCTTGTTTTTCTATATTTTCCTGTACTACTTTGCCATCTGCCCCGACTGTCGCTCCGAGGAGTTTATCTGACGGGCCATCCTCCTCTTCTTCATCTTCGTCCTCTTCATCTAAATAAATATTAATAAAATAAAACATATGTTAGTAAAAATTTCGTTTTGATATTTACCTTTGTGGTCAAAATATGTTATAGCAGCAATGGGCATGATGAAACATTAAACATGTACGAAAACTCAAATATTCGATATTGTACAAGGAATCTTTATGATAGAATTACAAAAGTATATTGCGTACTAATGTTATGGAGATTATTTAAGGACTCGCAAGTTAAAACTTAGAAAAGGTTGTAACAACATGATGTTTATATAAAATGTATATACCAACCTCCTTCCTCCTCTGGCCTCCTGTATACTAAATATCTGGGAAGAAGTTTAGTTTCAGCCTGAATTGCTTTGGACCAGTAGGATTGGAACTGGGTCCACAGTCGGTATAGGCAGCAGATTGTCTTGCCTGTCCCACTCCGGCCTTGTAGTAGGATTGGGGACTGTGACTTTAGGTTAATGATGGCATGCTCCATGTCAGTCACTCGGAATGGAAAGTCCACCTGAATAAAAATGTTTTATATTTTATTGAAAGAACAGAAATAAGTCTGGCTTTTTCATCCGGGCCAATATACTAACGGCATGATACAATTCTTTACTTATGATAGAAAACCTAAAACATATTTTTCCTCCAGAAATCAGATATATGGTTTTAATTATTCTTTGAATTTCGTTATCTCACTTGGTTGGTCTTTTGTTATTACCGAAGTTTTAAGTTGATTGGCATATACGTATTCTATCAGTACGGAGGATGTTTCGAATAAGTTCATGAAATAAAACTTGCATCCCCAAAAAGGGATTAATTTTTCAATACTGAATTTCCGATTGACCACAATCACCTTCCGTCAGTAAATCCTTATTCAAAATGTCAGTTTCAGTAGTACTAACATTTATCTATATTCTGTATCACAGATATATATTACTAACGTTTGTCGGTATATTCTGTATCACAGATATTCTGTATTACAGATATGAAGTTCTAAAGTTTGCCTATACATTCTGTATCACAGAATTTGTTTTATTTACTCCTTTTTTTCTATATTATGTATCACTGATATGTAGTACTTACTTTTGTCTCTATATTCTGTATCACTGATATGTAGTACTTACTTTTGCCTCTATATTCTGTATCAGTGATATGTAGTACTTACTTTTGTCTCTATATTCTGTATCACTGATATGTAATACTTACTTTTGTTTCTATATTCTGTATCACTGATATGTAGTACTTACTTTTGTCTCTATATTCTGTATCACTGATATGTGATACCTACCTTTGTCTCTACATTCTGTAAAACATGGTAGACTAAATTGGAGGAAACAGAGTAAAACTTGAGGATGTGGTATTCAGTGTCATTACTACTGGCCAGTGGATAGAGCATTTCTAATTTCTGCTGGTACTCCTTCAGCTCCTGGTCCTGCAATCCAACATCAGCTTCCTCGTATCTTATTGGATAGCGTCTCCCTAACGACATGAACAGTAAGTACTGAACATTCTCTTCACTATAGTCAAGCATATTATATAGAAGATTCTTGCTGAGTGTTAATATATCTAGCAACCACTTCAGTGTTAATACTACATTTTGAATCATACCTTGCAGATATGAGAAATGCCAGGTCTATGTTTAACTCTGTTAGACACCGTGCTTCAGTTTGAGGCTAATAAGATGCATTTTGGCTAGGCACATCTTCAACTGGCTGTACATCGATGCAGTTTAGAGAGAAAATAAGAGGAGAGAAGTGATTGCAATCCATCAAGCTCGGTTAATGTTTTAAAGATTTAGACCACACTACTATTATCTTAAACAGTACAAATCTGGATTATCAGAGTATACTGAAACGGAACATATTCGTCTGTTGGAAGAGGTTTTAAGATACATTTTTATGCAATATAAATAATTATTTTGTTTTACCTGCTCCTTCCTGAAACTGAGTCTTTTTCATTCCCTTGAGCTTTTTTTGTATGGTGCACTCTTCACCGCGGTTGTGCGACTTGATGATACTTTTTACACACCTGTCAATGTGATCGTGATCAAACACTATGTTCCAAACTCTGATCACCTCTGAGTAGATCCTCCCTCCTCTCACGGCAAGATCTTCACCTTCGGCAGATTCACTCAACCGTGGCGAAAATGCAATGGCTAGTTCCCATAATATCCTACACTCCTTGGACAGTTTTGCCTCAAACAGTCGTAGGGTTTGGGGCATTTTGCTGGCAGTTACAGGTTTACAAAGGGATTTTCCCCTTTCCCCACTGGCCAGGTGCTGGATTTTACGAACAATGCGCCGTTTCAGTTCAGGAAGGACATCGTTGTCACAGAGAGTTGTCAAGACATCAGCCGTACATTCCACTTCCCATTCCAGATTGTCAAAAGCCTGAACATCTACCTGTATAATTGAATATTGTAACAGTAACAATACACGTTATTCAAACATTGTAGCAAAAATATAATGTTTTCCATATCCACAGTTGTCTTTGACTATATCTAAGACTAAGTATAAATGTTGTGTACCTCGTCGTTGTGTTTTTTCTCATCCTCATCTTCTGCTTCTAGCTCCCTGTTGGTCTTCATCCCAACCTGCTGCTCTTCCAGCTGAGGGGCAGCCGCAGCAACTGCATCAGCTCGATGAGCTGTTCCGTCAAGTTTCACCTTCTACAAACATCAAATGAATACGTTCAATTGTGAAAAGTTTAACATTCCATAAATTTTGATGCTATTAGTGAGAAATTGGAGCAAATATAATGCAACAAATGGTTTTAGCTACATGCTACAGGTAAATACTGGTGGGAAGGGGAAATAAGAATCAGTTATAATTATACAAGTTGACAAGAGAATAAGAAAGAAAAACAAAAATTGAGGATAAGAAAGTCAGAAACTTCATATTATGAGTGGAAAAAAACAACCTTAATCACTTTCTTTTACTGGACGGCAAGACAATCAGAAATATATTATCTGATAGATCGTCAAATACAAATCATCTCATGAGTGGGCAAACATGGTAATTAGTAAAACACTATGTTTAGGTGACCAGAACATATTATGGATGAGCCAAGAATTAGGAAATATTTTTTTCACGGGTTGGCTGAATAAAAAACAACATATATTATGGATGGACAAACCACAAACGAATTATCTGAAGGTTAGGCAAGATGAACAGAAAAACAGTGTTTATTTTATAAGTGCGCAAGGAAAATCAGAAAAAGTCTATGTATGGGCAAAACCCCCAGAAACATAATTTATCAGTTGAAAATTAAACACATCATTAATTGGTGGACAAGTTAACCAGAAACGCATTATTAAATGAATTGGCAACAGAATCATAAAGATTATTTTATCAATCGACAAATATACCAAGACATATCTTACAGTTGGGTAATGAGAAACACATTAATTGATGGGTAGGCAAATAAGTCATTAACAATATAATATTGGTCAACAAGTAGACCTGAAATATTACGGATATTATGGATTATGATCGTTTTGAAAATATACTTTATCTGAATTGGTTTTATTAGATTTATTGATGTAAGATTTATTGCATATATACCTTAAGAACATCTTTCTTGTCTGGCGATCTGGCTCCCTTCTGACCTCCACCTGACCTTCTTCGTGACCTCCAACCTTCCTCCATTCTGGGAACCTTGGGGTTGTATATAGAGTAAGGAGTGTCTGGCAGATTGAAGATCATTTCCTCAATCTTTTTCTTGGCTGCCTCACGGTGGGTTGGTGTCTTAGGAAAAATCAATTGTTTGTCTTTCCGTGGGACTTTTGCTAGTACAGAACAACACTGCGTTTCATCTGCCTCACTGTTCAGTAACTGATCCTGTTCTTCCTCAAGCACATCCTCCTCTGACATATCCTTCAGCCTCAACTTCATTTGCTTCATAGCTGCCGGGTTGGTTTCTGTCTTTTCAGCCTGTCGGAGGTACTGGAGCCTATGTAGTTGATAGAGCGGAAACAGAAGTTAATCAAATTTTAATATAATATTACGTCGTGGAAACATTGACCCCTAGCTCGCTTCTCAATATGATCTACGACAAGTTGATTTACAATATCAGTCTCCAACAGTCAATACTTTCAATATTTCTTTTATAGATTCTTGTCCAGTTGTACTGTGGTTTTTCGTGTACACAGTAGCCTCCCTTTGACATCGTTTTTGATAAAACTGTAGCACAGTATGACAAGGACAACTGTTGAACAGATATTTCAATCAATTACAACTGAAACTTGAATCCCGCACGTAAATTATCTTTTAGAAATGATTGATCAACGCAAAATCCGTGCAAAAAAGCAATTTCCAATGCGTACCTTAAGTTTCTGTAAGTGGTACGGGGATTCTTAAAGTAAGCAATTCAATATCCTATCCCTTATCAACCCGATAAATTGATAGATGCATTGTCTACTAACATCTGGAAAGATCTGATTAAGAAAGTTTACACTACCTTCGGTCATTCTTTTTGTTGACTAAATAGTATTTTGGCAGCTTTCCTTCATTATTGTAAACCAGTGCAGATATGTTCATGGCACATAGCACTTCAGTGGCTTTTTGTGTGGTGCTGTTATATTTCATCTTGGCCACGAGGTGGAATAGGCAGTCACCATTGACATCTTGCTGGTTAGGGTCCAGATATGCAAACGTCTCTGGGTCACTTAGAAACTTATCCACAAGAATCTTGAAGATATTGAAGTTCCCTTAAAGCACAATTTTATATAAAAAAAGAGTACAATATGGTGACATGTCAGGAAAAGGATCAAACTTTTCACAGAAGTTTGAGTTGATGACCAGATAATTAGAGGTTCCGAATCAGTGGTTAGTTAACAGAGTCATCTAACGTGATTTCGATCAGTGGAGATTTATAAGTTATCACGAGTAGTTTACATTATATACCGTATGTTTATATTATATCAGACAAAATTGCATTAGACATTTTGATATCATTTCCCTATGCACCTGGCTTGGTAATACCTCTCTTTTGCTTTAATGTTGAATATCAGGAAGGCAATTTGTTCTTCCGTGCCATACCAAAGTCTTTAAAACAGCACTGAGGGTGATCGTTACAACTGCTTCACCAGCTATCAGTATAATTTGACCGGACGAAATGCCATGCTGGATGTCTTCGGCATGGCATTTCAGTATAGTAGCACTCTAGAGTCGGCATCAAATTTATGTTATTACAAGGAGGCAACTACACCTGCATACACTGCATCCAGCACACATACACACGTACATGCATACAACACACATATGGAGGCACGTCCTTAAATTACCTTAGCTGTTATTAAACTTTAAACCCTCTAAACCAAACTAATTGTTTTCACCATTAATCGCGGCATCACAACACAGTTCAAGTTATGTTAAATATAGTACATAGGCTGTGCATGAAGCCCAATCCCTTTGACAGTATACCGTATTTTTTGTCAAAATAATATGTTAAAATGAAAAATATATATATATAAACTTTACAACAATTATAAAAAAGTTAATTCAAGTTATTTTAATGACTTTTGTTGGTGCAGATGTTAGCGCGTATGGGTGCTAAATATAGGACGAAAAACGAAGTACCTAGAGGAAATCCACGTGGTCGGGCAGGTGACCCCATACCTTTCAATATCCGATCGGGAAACAGAACACATGTCGTCTAAATAAGAGGTAAATGCTCGCCCTGTTGTACCACCCAACAACTTAGTTTTCTTTCCATTAATTTTAATTTACCTTATAGAAAATGACACCATTCTGATTGGTCAAATTATCATTAAAAAGATGTACACTCTTAAATAGTAAATACCTTTGTCTCTTTCCAAGGCTATTGCCAAGGCAGCATGAAGGGGCGTGTCCCCCGGCTGTAGAGATAAGAATACTGGGCTACCTCCCCTTTTGAACAGCGTACATAGCAACTTAAAATGATTCATCTGGATAGCAGCAAGGATATCCGTCTTCCCATCTGTAACACAGAAGTATAAATGGTTTTCATTTAAAAGTATGATTGTTCCTTGTTTCATCAAACTTCAACAAATATGTTATCATCACATTTCATGTGTGAAATGCATTGAACACGAAATATTGTATTGTGACTTATATTTATTGACATTTGATAAACAACCTTTTTATGAAATAAAAAAAAATATAGATACATATTCAGTTTACATTTATTTTGTAGAGTGTGCTGTATTCATTTATTAGCAAATGCTTCTATTTTAAAAAGATATGATTTAATTTCAATATTGACATTGAGATTAGAGGTTTTATATTCAAGGATTCAATATTTGTAGCGAATGACTAATATTAATTACATTCAGATCATTTTGAACATATGGTCTGATGAGGGTTTAGTTGGATAAAATACCCAATGTCACCTCTTCATAAGAGAGAACACTCTACCATTTTCCATTATTGCTCCGCTGTCCAACATGTTGTCAATAAGCTGTGCTAGGAGGTCGTCTTGCTTGACGAAGGACGGGTGACGTATCACTCGGGCAATGTTTATGTTCTTTGCAAAATCCCTCAAAGACAGATTACCATGATGTTTCCGATTCTCTCGAACCATGATGTCAACCTGCCTCCATTTTTCGTCCTTGGCCAAGTTATTTATAATCATCTGATAGAAAACCACACGAATCCTTGCCAAACCTTCTGGTATTTCTGCATAAATGACAAAAAAATAAGAAATTATTTTAAAACCCTTTCCAAATACATACATTGTTGATTATTTATTACAAAAAGTGTTCAAACTGGCATATTTTCAAAGCCATGCAATGTACCTTATATCAGCCTATTTTGTGAATTTAAAACTGTTTTCCTCTGACGCTTTCAATCGTAAACAATCAAATCAATTTTCAATTTTCATCATAGGCCAAACGTAGCTATGTTTAGATACAATCCTAGTATTTACAGAGACCAGTATTGAGTCCTAACTAACCGGAATGTGATACTTTTAGGGCTGAAATGTGGCCTCACCGATTTTGATTTTAGACTGTACTGTGACTGTTGGTGACCAGGGTTTGAGTCTTGCATTCATGAATGAAAGGTCATCTACAGAGACTTTGTTTCCAGTTTTAAGGCCAACTGACTTACCAGGGTTTAAGGTCGTGCTGAGACTATTTGTAACCAATGTCAGAGCCTCATCAACCAGTCCTCGATGTTCGTTCCCGTTGCTGTGTTTGTGTCTCTTTCGAATGACCTTTGCTAGACTTGTGTACGCCTTTCCAGTACGTTGAAACCGTAGGTGCTCTTTGGCCTCATGCATAGTCTTGTAACATCTGGCACAGGCGGTATATCTAGCCGGCTCAGGACGAACGACTTGGAACTCTGCTTGTTTCTGATGATGGTGATGATTTAAATTAGATTTTTAATAATATATTGTTATCAGTGAATCTCTTTCAACGATTAGGTATTGACTTTGCGTTATATTATCTGTTAGTTTTTTTATACCCTTGACATCCTGGTCAATATAATATTTAAAAGAAACCAAATACTCCAAATATGCAAATCTAATCATGCATAGAACGCATTAACTCTAGGGAATACATATATATATAGAGTATATCACCGACGATCTACGACATACTGAACTAATATTTAATCATAGGAGAGTCAAACATTCACAGTGAAAAACCAAGGACTATTAATACCTGATCCAATATTTCACTCGATGCTTCTGGAATGAAATAAATAAGTCTATCATATGTATTAATAAGGAATGAAAAATAAAATAATTCTAACAAAAGTCGTAAATTTCAGGTCAAAACTAAGCTTTGCTGAAAATAAAGTATGGTACTAAAGGTGTATACTTAATCGATACGGGTGTCATTCCTTCAATATGTTCTTACCCGTTCATCTTTGCGAACATCCTGTACATCCTCTTTGTCATATTTTCCCTTAACCTTATAGTTCTCAATCTTTGCTTTACATTCAGTATCCAGCAGCTTTTCTTTTGTATATGTTATCATCACTCCCTTTTCCTTCTCCCCTTCGTATTTTTCCTGCATTTCTGTCTCTTTTCCTGGCAACTCATCCTCATTTGCCTTTGTCTTTTGTTGCATATTTCCCTCTAGTTCCATCTCTTGTGATACATCCCCTTCCTTCTCCTCTTCTTCTTGTCGCACGCATTCATCTCTTTCCACTTTTTCTTGTGACATGTCCTCTTCCTTCTCCTCCTCTTCTTGTGACATGTCCTCTTCCTTCTCCTCCTCTTCTTGTGACATGTCCTCTTCCTTCTCCTCCTCTTCTTGAGGCACGTCCTCTTCCTTATCCTCTTCGCCTTGTGGCACATCTTTCACCTTCTCCCCTTCCTTAATTTCTTCTGTCAGTTTGTCTGTGCTTTTAGGAAACGCACCAACGGGGATCTGAGAAGAACCATTATATAAAACGAAATGTATTCAAAAGGGTCAACACACAAGAGCAAAATCAGAAATTAACGTTAATGCGAAAATACCACTTACAAGTAAATTAGTACCTGGGATGTACGTACCTTCTTGTTATCGATGGAGAGCTCTGAGTCAGAATCATTTGTCGTTTCAATGGAAGAAAATACTCGTGTCGTAACTAGAACATCGGTATCTGAGCCCACTGGTTTCTCCACAGCAAGTTTTAAATCAGAAGAAGGTTTGCCTACCCGCCTGTGTGCAGCTTGTGGTGATTTCTTCTTCCCCTTTAGCCGCTTTGGTTGAGCGGGGATACGACAGAAAAAGGGTTCCAGTATTCGCCATCTTTGCTCTTGTTTTTTCCTAATCAAATCTGAGGGATGCTGTCCTTTCTTATTCTTTGAAAGGATCGCCGAAGGCTTTTGGATATGCTGGATCAATAAGTCAATAGCTTTCCTGGATTGACTACCGTCTGGCTGGCGAAGGGCTAGATGTAGCAGCCCGTCTCCATTTTTGTCTTGTGATACGGGATCACAAAGATAGTATACTTGTGGATCTTCTCGGAACTTCGTTAACAGGAATTCAAAAGCCTCGAAATGTCCTGGAATTATCAAACGAAAGTTGTTGTAAATCAAGGTATGTTTGCAACATACTTGTCAATGTGCTTATAATCATGGTTTAATTATATATGTGTCATATACTAAATAGAGGAACTTACATTCGTGTTCATGTTCTACTGAATAAATTGAACGAGTCTAATAAATTCAGTATGACATGGATTCGAATGTAAGATTCTTTTAATCACATAATTAAAAAAAATCAAACACAACAATGTGTTTTCAGCTGACTCGATATAGGTGAAACCAAAGTACCCCGATTACAGTTTTGTCGTTCCGCACAGTGCAAAATAGTTCCAGATTTTGTTTTTAGTAATGAACAATTTTAAATGCAATAACAATCAATAATGATAAAATAACCATTTTAAATTCATATAGTGTGGTATAGTATATATCGGTATCCCTGTAGAGCCGTAGGAATATGTTCCCACGGTTTTGTCCAGTCGTAACACATTAAGGATCAAATGGATCATTTATGGGATAAAATTAAGTAACTGTATAATACTTGAAATTGAAGATATTGTTTGAAAGTTGAACCTAATTAGCTTTGATTCACAAGCTACATAACGACGAAACACGTGTTCCAGAAGAGTAAGCGATAACTGCACCACACGTGGCACCCTTCACGATGTCTGCCAACAGTTATAGGAAAGTTTGCATGACAGACATAGGGACCAACGACATGGTCTATATTCATGATAAAGTCATATATAAACAGAGGAAACTAGGTCAGTTTGACAACAACAGAAACTCAACAAAAGTCTCGAAGTCTCTGAAGGATAAAATCATAACTACGATAAATTACTACAGTACAACAAAAATGATCAGATGCTTAACCGTGATATGATTATTTTGCATGTTAAATACTGCTAGCTGTGAAAAGGTAATGTGCCGGACCGGCCCATATCTTCCAGGCACGCGCCATATCTGCCGAGTACCCACCATATTAATGTTACTCCCGATTCAAAACATTTCAGGAAAATCACGCCTCTATTACACTCGATCTGTATTATTGATGCTATTGTTATTTATTTATTTATCTCCAATTCAACAGACCCCAAGGGTCCACTTACAACATTTCAACACAAGTATAAAATATTACAGTCAGTTATGCATGAAACACAGACCAAAAGATACTCATATGTAAAACAAAAGGAATTAATGATAGCAAATATTCTTTAACCGTACTTTGAACTCGGCGAGAGAGGAACGAAACATATCGTAGTCTGGTGCAAAATCAAGAGAGTTAAAATTACATTGAATCCTGTTTAAAATACTATACTTTCTAACGTTTATTCTACTTCTCTGGCAGTAAAACTGGTCTAAAATCTTATCTAAAAGGAGTTTTCGTGTTGATATGAATCTTGTCATACGATAACATCTAAATATATACTTTGTCGTCATCGAACCTCACGAATGTTGTACCAGTTTATCACATGGATATAATAATATAACAAGTGTTTGTTTTTCAGGTCAATGTGATGGCCTATTATTTTCATTTAGGAAAAGGCATTTATTAGTTTTCATGGAACATTTATTCTTATAAAATACACCATCGACATAGCACATTTGTAAAAATCGCAGCTTTAAGGAGACGTTAATGCATGAGTACAACTGAGGTTATAACAAACAAAACTGACCTTTTTGAAGCGCGATCGTTAATGCAGCATGTACAGGCGTGTCACCGCTGTATATGGTCAGGTGTCTTGGACGAGCGCCCCTCGACAGTAGTAAGGGGAGGATCCTATAGTGGGCATTTGTTATGCATGCGTGGATACAATTTTGTCCCTCTAAAGATTAAGGAAAAAAATATCAATAAATATTAATGAGATTACTTAACTTATCGATATTTATAGTTATGGGATCGCACGACTTCACACGATGTGCGGTGTGCGCACGGTGTGTGAAGAATGTGCGAACCATGTGCGAATGATACAAATCTGGAAGATTATTCCTTGCGCGCATTTGTGCTCACGATGGACGAACATTGTGCAAAATAAATCGTGGCTGGTGTAAATTTAGGAATGGCTTAACAATAGATATGGTTTCGTGTTTAAACATAGAAACTTGCTTTTTAGTATGTTTCTAGCTACTTATATAGGCTACATGTATTTTTTTATTTTTTTTATTTAGAAATGATTGTTTTTTTGTGATTTTGAAACGACCCAAATCAACACATGTTAAATAATAATACAAATAGACACGGTCCAATATACAATTAAACATTGCCACGCTGTAAATATATCTGAACCGTAGTGTTCCTCACCCGTGGCACTTACGTAACTCGCCGAAGAGTGAAAACCCAAGTGAAGGGCAGCTATAGACCAATACGAAGGCAACTAACAAATGCCTAATGTCCAGTTGTGTTTCCATAACGTTCATATGGTACCACATATCAGCTCTCTGTGTTAGGCACAGGCCAGGAAAAAAACTCCAGTTAATCATCAAACTATTATTTACCTGTTCTGTTACCGAAGCCAAACATATTCTTGACAGTCTTACGGGGCACTGTAACACTGTGTAACAAGCATTGTAAAATAAAACATAATCTTAACTATTGTGATGAGCCTTACGATTTTCCCCCTGTAAAATTGATCAACCAATTGTACCAAAGCGCACACTTGTGCGGAGAGAAGCGCATAGCGGGGCAAGCGATTGTTTACTCGCACAGTTATGCGAATCATGTGCGAACGCTGTGCGCACACCATGTCTGGTGCGTTGTGCCGTCGTACAAATGTCTATACAATAACATATATATATAACGAAAAACAATTGTTTTATAATCATAATTGTTTGATAATATAATTATAAAACATATGGTAATAGTTACTTTAGCAGTCCAGCAGATATTGGACTTCAACATTAAATACAAAACAATGAAAAGCTGTTACTATGTTAATATAAGTGTTTGGTGTTTGTTTTTTTATAAATCCATCGAACATTGTATATAGCAATAAACAGTTGATTTGTAAGAGGATCTTCAATCCTTTTCCTTTTTATAAAAGATTCATGAAACTCGTTGCTCATTTGTAATGTTTCAATTTTCTGTACATTATTGGTATAACAAGAATATATTTCCTAACGAAGACGGATAAGAAATAATCTTATTTCAAATTATACAGGGGTATGATTACTTACCATTCGGTATAGTTGCTCCTATATCCAATAATCCCGTCATCAAATTTTCCAATCTTTCAGTTTTTCTTAGAAACTGTGGATCTCCCACAACAGTCTCCAAACATATTTCGCCTACGAGATCCATACACGTTTCTTTGGAGGCATTGCATTCACGGTGGCTACGGACTATATTGAAAAAAGGGAACCATTTTCTCCTGTCCAGTAGACCTTTCAAAATCTGGTTCAGGTGGCTATCGGAAACTTGTATCAGGTCTGCGGGAATGTCTAAATAATATACAGTATGTAAAATACATTTAAAGGTATATTCAACAAGTCATCTAGAACCATGATATATACAACTAACTCTTGTAAGCTAGAAAATTCAATTAAAAAATGTTGAAAATATACCTACGATTGATTTGTTTACTTTTATCACGTGGTATCTTAATCCCTGTCGATAGCTTTAGAAAACGTTAATGATAAAAAGGGAGCGATAAAACGAATTATTAACTTCACTAACAGAATAAGACATTTTTCAATACATCTGTATCCAGGTCACAAAACACAAGATAATTATCTTTAAGTTATTCTTACTTACATTCATTAACATTACATTAACGTTACTATGTCGCGAAGGGATGCTAATAGGCATCGTTTCGTCCCATCACCTCTCTTTACGAGAATGCAAAGGAACGAAGAGACGAAAATGTGTGGAACAAGTACCTTCAGCTTAGCGCTAATACACATAGACACCATGTAAGCGTTGGCAAATTCCTTCGTGGGTAACATAAAAAATACCGGGTCATTGGGAGTTTTCTGTACAGTCAGAATTATTATTGTTATCTATATATCATCATTGTCGCACTGGAAAAATTCCAGCTTTTTCCTTTAGATGTTTTAGCTCGAGTAATGTTTAATTCTCATTCTGCTTGCAAATAATGCAACATAGGTCCTGTGTGAGATACGTAGCGGATATATTGAAATATAATTACTACTGTTACAATCCATATATGTGGCTTATATACAATGCTTGCAGTGAGCATACAAAGACTGTAACGACTTTGGTCACGCATTTTGTATCGGGCGTTGCGGAAATGTCGTGCAAATGTGTCATACGATATAACCTGTGATCACGTACAAGTGTGTGTACACACTGTAACATATAATATACGCTACGTTTGATATAAAATAAAATCATTTTTGAGATGACACCTGTTTGTATTTATATAGGTATCGGTCTCTGCGGTCCGTGCTAGGTTTACCTCAAAATGAGAAATATCTAATAAAAGGAATACAAACTTACCTGAATCACCAGCGTCATCTAGGTTTGTGCAAATTTGAGTGATGGTCATTGAGATGTACTCGTTCGTGGAAAGGTCATGTGAGCTTTGCAAAAGTTTCCCAAAGACAGCAAGTCCTTTGGTGTACTGTTTAATTTCCAACCATGATTTGCCTTCCTTATATAGTGATTTTATTTTTTTGCGCAACTTTCTTCTTTCGGTTGCCTTTTTCTACAACAAAAGAGAAATATTGATTGGAATCTTCTTAAATGTAAAGATGAAAATGTTGGGTCATTAAAATAATACCACAAGTTATCGATATTGATGATTATATGAAATTGAATATCTTGTTATTACAATTTACATGTAGTTGTATCAAAAACATATTATGAACTTAGTTGTATAGAAGTAAATTTGAATCTGAGGATTTATTACATGTTTTACCAAAACTTACCTCTCGAGTTTCGGTAGGATTATCCTGGCTACGCGGATGAGTGACTGAGAGTTTTTCTTTGCGGTGATCATGGTGGGTTTTTTCTGAATGGGCATACGAACGATGTTCTTTCTCACAACCGTCATCGTCAGCTGTCGATGTATTGTCAAACTGCTCATCAGAACCCGCAAATGGTGTATCAGATGTAACACTTACCTGCTGCTCATCAACCTCAACAGTATGGTGGTCGATAACATCCTGTTCGCCAGAAGTATATATGCTGTCGTTATCACTGGTGAATATATCTACTGCCGAAACTGCGCCAGTGCTGTCTCGTATAAATTTCTCACTGGTAATTTCGTCATGTAAGACATCTTGTTTTGTTATCCTTTCTTGTGAAGATTTGGACATGATTNGTAGACGTCGCCGGTTCCGGGTATATCTGATGTCGGTTGTGCCATGTTGTCAGTGACTGCGTACACTTCCGCTTCCTCAGTGTCATCATCATCAGAATTCATTTCTGAAAAATGAAATACATATATATCACTTCTTAAAGACATCAGAAGTATTATGGTAAAAGCTGTTATTGTCTTAGATATATCCACAGTTACCTTGAAGTCAAGGACAGAGAAAGATGTAAATACCGGAAGTACACCGATAAACCCTATTTTGATTGTATATCCCTAAACTATATTCCCTAAACTGTATTTATGGTAAAGAGCAGGTAGACTTGTTCAAGTCAAAATAGAGAAATGAAAACGTACGGGGAGGACCAGACCAGATATTCCGGAAGGGTTAGCGTACTCTACTTCACGACACTCGCCATGTAAATCAAACAGCTTCAAAAACAAGAGACACACAGTAATAAAAATTATCAACAATATAAATATTATTCGTTTTCCCCAAAAACCTCATGATGGCGACCATAAACCTTTCAATATTTTTCCAATTTCCTAAATAAAAAAAGGAAACGGTAGCGTAACTATATGTATTTAATAGTGTTTTAACTTTTGCGTGAATTGAAATCAATTACATTAATGACTTGCATAGAAGAAATGAAATATAATCAATGAAATTGTGTTTCTTCTTTTTGATAATGGATGAATAAAAGAGAAATACACACTCGTTCTGAGAGGTAAATCTACATACAAATATTTATTTATATATCATTTTGAAATTCAGCATGCATTGGAGAAGATTAAAAGGGATACTGACCTGTAGATAAACTTTTGTTTGTGATGTTGGTAATAATTGCACTCTAACCCATAATAAGCTGGTAACGTCGTTCACCTGACATTAAAAAAATATAAACATAATTACATGTTACAGAAACAATGAAGGATAGTTTGGCTATACAAACATACTTTCTTTTTTAAAGCGAAAGCACTAACAAAGTATGTTTACAAAAGAGGTAAACAATCGTTCTAAGAGAGGTAAACGGTATCGATTAAACAGAGATATTTTTAGTCATGGAGATATGTAATATATGGCTTTAATCTTGACGGCAAAAAAACATACATTGTAGAACATTTACAAATGATCTTCTATCGAACTTCTTCTGTGGTTTAGAAATTACATTTAGTATACATCGGAATCTTTCTGCAACAAGATTTCGAAAACTTCATTGTCCTCCTAAGTGACGTCATGTTAGCTCAGTGTAAGATCCACTGTCAGTAACTATGGATGTTTTAAAAAAAAAGCTTGTATATCAAACTCAGCCTTAGGATGTGATGTCACTCGTAGCATTTAGTACAACACAAGCAATGCATATATAATCATAATATATCAGCATAATAAGTTTTTTTCACGATTGAAATTTGAAGTAAATATGTGTTAAATGAAAAATACAAGAGGATACTAAAGAGATAATTTGAGAATGTTCAAAATACCATATCAGTAGGTTAAAACGTAAAGTAAATAACGCTTTTCTAATGATAATTGATGTTATTTTGAAGATGATATTGATTTAAAGAATATATGCCTGTAATTGTATTTCAAAGACGTTAGGCAGTCAAAGCTTGAATTGTTAAAATAGTATTTTTGTGTATACAAGTATAACATGTTATTTCAAAGTTCACCAAAAACATTACCGATTCAGAGCGCCATAAAATAATGAATCCTGTAAATTTCCCGACACGAGTTGCTCATAAGAAGTACCTACTTGTTTATCATGAAGGATTTTTGACAAGATTATAACCAATTGCTTAACGAAATAGTCCTTCTAACATATTTATAAGTTTTAGCTACAATAAGAATCCATTTTTAATTGACCAACATCTTTATTACATATACATACCAAATAGATTTAAAAACAAGCTTAAAAAGGTTTCTCTTACAAAAGTTAATGTCATTTTTGTCTGTACCTATCCTTTCCGTTTACTGGTTGACACTAGATATGTTAGACCACGAGCTGTTTAATAGATCCCTTTACCACTCTTAAAATCTGTAACTTTATGTGTGTATTGGAAAATGTTATCTGGCACGACCATGTCTTTTATACAGCCTTCTACCATGTACCATTTGTAACACACACATATAGTTACAGTCGAATGAAGAAATGCATTTGCTGTAATCAAAACTAAAGGCGCATTTTACAGTAATTTGCATGCAGATGGACACTATTAACAAATAAATTATTTTTAACAATAATAATAGTCAACTATTAAAACAACAAATAATATAATACCTTTGATTTGTGTCTGAAATTCTACAAAAAGACGATAGTACACGATAGCAGACGATGATCTATTAAAAAATCTAGCTCATGCAGTGGAGTATAAACAAAGCACTTATAAAAGATAAATAATTGACACAATAACGTTACCTCAAATGTTTGTTTGATTATAATAGCTGTCTACGCGGCCAGTTTAATCGATATATATTATATAACGTAGGCCGACAATAAAAAGTGTTTGTTCTGTACCTAAATATAACCTTTAACTGCCCCATACTAGATATGACAGAACGCGGAAAGTTTAATGATAACCTTACCACTGGCTCTGTCTCTCTACAGATATATCTATCTAAACAAAGTTCAGAGAAGATAGTCGAATGAAGAAATACACTTGCTGTTATAAAAACTACAAGATAACGTTATAGTATTTTTATGCAGAGAGACACTTTTACAAATAAATCGAATTATACTATAGCCTTAACAGCAACATACTAGTAAACAAAGAGACAATTTATATGTATTAACAATAAAGTACCTCCGTGTGTTCTCCGTTATCAAATAGACAATTCAACTGACTATATCAATCAGCGTCAATATTGTAAACCGATACAAATATATGCCAAATCTTGATATTGTAGGTGCCACGTAAAATATATTAATGTGCTCAAAAATTCTAGAATTTCATCAACTTTCGGGTTTAAATTGACCACGTAGGACATGATTGCACCTTAACAATGATAGGGAATACCGGTTTATATACAGTCGAAAAACACACCATGACCGCAAAACATGACGTCCCGCCCTATTTTCGTTATTGCCTATATTAATAACTGTTATACACACCTGTTAAATATCACAATCACAAATGTCATGTTATCAGCTGTTTATACAGATTTCGTAATCAGGACACAGTTACTAGTGGACTATACAACGCAAAACCGAAAGAGAAAGTAGACATATTTCCGGTAGGCATTATCAATTTAGATAGCAGCTTGATATTAGTTCCAATAGTGCAAAGTATATTGTAGATCATACTATTCAATCCTGTGATATTTTAAGTAAAGTGTTAATTTTAAAATACAGAGAGAGCGTCACCATAATATGCTAATATGTATATTGTATATTCAATCGCTTTATTGAACTGTAACAAAAACAAGACATTACTGAAGTGACGTTGTAAACTCATCAATATATTCAACTTCATATCAAAACATAAACAACTCGGCCAAAGAAAGGGCACAGTTTGTTACCATGGGAATGCCTACAGTCTGCTTGGGAATCTTACGACCGAACTTAACAAAGATGTTGTCAACCGAGAACTCAATCATTCTCGCAGTACCATCCTCAGTATAATTCATTTTTGTTTTTGCTGTATTTACAATACGTGGCATGTGAACGGTATATTACTATTCACTTACTACTCCCAAGACATTTAAGGTGAATAGCACGTATATTACGGTTCATTAGTTATTCACATGTCATGGTTGTAGTGTAGCGGGTATATTCACTAGCCATTTAAAAGGTAAACAAGATTAAAAGGAGGTATTCAACGATTTACTATCACATGGCACGTTTAATGCGATTTACTTACCATTCACATGCGCCTCAAAAGCTATTCACTAGCTATTCCCATGCCACGTAAGGTGAATAGCTATAATACGATTCACTAACCATTCCCACGATACGTAAGGTGATTCAGACGAATTTTACGATTTTCTAGTAATTCACATGGTAAGTAAGGTGAATAACGGATACGATTCAATACCATTCACCAAATAAGTCATGTTATTGCGTACAGAATTGTTTGCGTGCCGTGCAAACTATCTTCATGTTTACGATGGCGCCAATATCCCATAGGTTATAATTAGTATCATTCAATGTATGCGCTAAGAAGCAAAGCCCTGTCTCTCTACAGGTATATATATCTAAACAAAATTCAGGGGAGATAGTCGAATGAATAAATACATTTGCCATTATGCAAACTACAAGATAAATGTATAGCATGTTTCATGCAAAGGGACACTTTTAACAAATAAAATATCTCAACAAAATTAATATTCAACCAATAAAAACATCAAATAATAAAATGCCTTCATTTCCCCCCTAAATATCTTTAACATGACGATAATACAAATGGCAGACATAGAGGACGCCATTGTGAATAGCCTTTCTATGGCTTTGATGGCCTACCCCAGGGAAAGGCAAAATACGTTACTTATAGATACTAACATTTTAAATTACCTACTTATTTGAACTGAAATGTTGTGTATGCCTTTTCATGAATACATATTATCATTAATACTTTTACGGCGATGAACTATTTTAAAACAACAGACTCAGTACGTGCAGCAACATCAATAACAAAGCATGTGTTATGCACACTTACACATAAGAATATATGGTTACCCTGTATAACGTATATATTACTTCCTGTTTGTAAAAGTGCTACAATAAATGTATACCACATAAAAACTTGTCAGTGTTAAACTATACTTAACTGTTAATTTACATCGAGAATGTAGAATATATATCTTAACACCTTTGAGGTTTATCATATGTTTACTAATAATAACACCCTTTTTGTATATGTGATAAGTCTAAAATTTCCACAAGTTGATATCAGGCCGGGTGATATCACACCCCCTTGTAAGTGATATCACACCCCCTAGAAAAGTGATATCACATCCCCTCCTTAATTTCCGGATCTTGCCGTTTCCGCTTATTGTTGTCT